AAACTCCTTCTTCCTCCCGTCATTATCTGGAAACTGAGGTTCCATGGTTGAACCCTTTCCATCTCCTTCTCCATCCTATTTTGGCCACTGATAATCTAGTTGGGAAGGGTAGGATGCTGCCATTGGGTCTTTTCCTTGTTTCTCCTGCTTTTTCCTCCATTCCCTCAGCCTTCGATGTCCCCAGTTAAGCCACATGGCCTTCTTTTGGATGTGCCAAACCAAAGTCTCTGGCTTTTGGAATTGAATGACTGAACCAACTCTGTCCGCTTTCATGTAAGTCCTAAAGCCACTGTATTGGGCTGGAACATAGCCCTCAATAATTGTTGGATTGAATTGAATGATTCAGGAGACACTTGGAAGTGATGACTTAGAGTTTTTCTGAATGTTAATACTGTAATTTATTGTATTGTCTGTAGGAGCTGGTTTATACCTGCTAAGTTTCCAGTAGTTATAATCCTATGGTAACTTTCATCCTTAGTATTTTTTACCCCAGAATGAATTCTTTCCTCCTCCTCTTCAGAAAAGATCAAACATTTGGAGTTAATCTCTATTAATTATTATATTTAAAATTATTCTCACCAAAAATTAAATATAACTATTAAATATAATTAATTTAAATTAAATAATTAATCTAATTTAATAATTATTTATATTAAATAAAGTGATAGTTAAAATTATCTTACCAAAGCACAAACCAATAGTTTGCTATAAGACATGAAATCAAGAATTTAAAGGGAACTTAAAAGTCATTGAGTCCAACCTGCTCAGTTCACAGATGATTGATTTAGAGAGAACAGTTTTACACTAGGTCCTAATCAATCAGTCAATCAACAAGCATCTCCTGTATGCTAGGCACAGGGCATGCAAATTTTCACATTCGGATAAGGGAGACAAGTATATATTATACATCATATACATACATATGATATATAATAATAGCTAGCATTTATACCGTGCTTTTCTTATTTTATGCTCACAACAGCTCTGCGAAGTGGGTACTATTATTATTCCCTTTTTACAGTTGAGGAAACTGAGGCAGACAGCAGTTAAGTGACTTGCCTAGGGTCACACAGTTAGAACGTATCTGAGGTTGGATTTGAACTCAGGTCTTCCTGACTTCCAGCCCTCTATCCACTGAGTCATCTGGCTGCCTCATATAGATTAAATATAAATATATACCGTGCATCCAGATTAAGCATAAACAAAACAAATAAAAGCAAGAATAGAATGCCTCGGGAGGGAAGGTACTAGTAGTTTTTTGGGAGGAGGGAGGAAAAAGAAGCCTTCATGCAGAAGGTGGTCCTTGAGCTGCCAGTAAAGTGAAAGAAGGGATTCTAATCAGATGCAGTAAGAACAGGAACTGGGATTCAAACCCAGGACCCTCCAACCAGTGCTCTTCCCTCCAAATCAAGCTGCCTCCTCTCTTTGTTTCTCAGTTTCTTTGGCCAGATGATAGAGACCATAATTCTTCCTTCACTAAAGTCCTTTTCTAGTTGATGTCTGTGAAGGTGACCTTTAATTCCTGAGGCCACAACAACAAAACACAAACTCCAGATGATCCTCCCAGGCTGGCAAGATTTTAAGTAAGGATCTGATGAAAGATTCCTTTGGAGTGGACGGAATGTGGACAGAATGTCAGGTGTTTTTTTTTTTTGGCCACTATAATTCGTGAATGACCATTTACCATTCCTACTGTTGCTGCTACTCACTAATAAATTTTAAGGTTTGAAAAGTTCATTAAACACATTGCCTCATTTGATCCTTTGAATTGAGAACAGCCATTATCATCCCCATTTTACAGATTAGGAAAATGAGGTTCAAGAGGTAAAATGATTTGCTTAGGGTCACACAGTTGGTGTCAGAAGAAGGATTCAAACCCAGATTTCTCCTGACTCTGAAGAGTAGTATCCTTCCTTCTTTTCTTCTTTCCTTCCTTCCTGCCTTTCTTCCCTCCCTCCATCCTTCCCTTCCCTCTTCTTCCCTCTCCCTTTCCCTCTTTCCTTCCCCCTTCCCTTTGCCTTCTTCTTTTCCTTTCCTCCTTTCTCCCCTCCCCTTCCTCTAAAAAGACATTGAGGATGTGTAATCTGCATGGATATTGGGTAGTGGAAAGAGCATTAAACCATCAAGCAGAGACCCATGGAATCCATGTTTTACCACCTATATATGACCTGGGGCAAGTTACTTCAACTATGCTTCCTCATCTATAAAATGACAGGATTGGACCAGATGATCTGTGGGGTCCCTTCCAGCTTTACTCTATGAAATGGAAGTTGTATATGAAGATAAAGGAATACCCACGATGATAAAATCACTCTTCCTTGAATTACTGAAGTAATTGCATGTCTTTCCCTTTCCTAGCTCACTGTTTAGCCTTTACGGTTGGCAAATCACTTTACATACATTATTGTGTTTGATCCTTGCAAAAACAAATTCTCTGAAGGAAGTGTTATTATCCTAATTTTATTGATGTAGAAACATGCTCAGAGAGGTTAAGTAACTAGGGTCACACAGTTATTAGGCTGGATTCAAACCCAAGTCTTCCAGATTCCAATTCTAGTACTCTATCCCTTATGCAAGCTTTGACCTTTTATGAGAAACATGCTTTGATTGCCAAAAAGACCATTTGATGTCTGTGTTTTATAGAGGTCCAAAGGCCCTTTCATACATTTATCCAGATAAATAGAGATTCTAAGCCTGCAGCAGTCAGTTTTAAACTCAGTAGTGCACACAGGCAAGTATTTAATAAATGACTTTTGCTGCTATATAAATCCAACACATGAAATGTCACAAAGACCAAACACTACCATGATGACCAAATGATTAGTCACTCCTGAAGCTGCTTTTCCCCTTCCTTAACCTGATATACTGCTAAAAGGAAATGAATGGGCTGCCTGGCCAGTTCTTGATGTATTTTGCAGAGTGACTCATAGTAGGAAGATAATTGGGTAGCAGCTGGAAACAGTACCAAGAAAATCAATCACAAAACCCAGTATCTCAATCGAGAGGGGATCTCAGAGGTCATCGGGTTTACTGGATCAGGAATCCTTTCTCCCACATTCCTCCCATCCAGCCTTCCCTTACAGATCTCTAGCTGTTTGGAAGGACACTTTGCTTAAAGACAAAGGTCTTCCAGAGCCTGGATCATCCCTTTTTCTGTGATGTTGTCAAGATGACGGTTCAGATCCAAGTTGGAACAGGTGGCCTGTGAGGTGACTTGTAACTTTCTAAGGTTATGAGGGAGTCTATTCTACTTTTTGGGCAGCCCTAAGTCAATAAGCATTAAGTGCCTATGTGCCAAGGCAATGTACTAACCACAATGATTTTAATTGTCAGGAAGATAGATTGATATTAAGCCTGTCTGACTTCTACCTGCTGCTCCTACTCCACCTTCTGAGGCCAAGCAAGGCAAGTTTAATGGGATTTTTCACGTAAAAGCTCTTCTAATACTTGATGATAGCTATTCTCCCCTCCAACCCTCTGTGTTCTCTCCTCTAGGCTACCCATTCACAATTCCTTCAACTCATCCTTGGGTGGCATTAGTTTGAGAACCCTCTCCAACCTGGCTGCTTTCTCCTCCAAACATCTGACTGACTTAAGCATTGCAGAAGATGACAATGGCTTATGATGTGTTTACATTTGGCACATTTCAGGTCTTGGAAACAAATCATTAGGTACTGAGCTTAGTATGGAAGGACACATGCCACATTGTCTATAATTAGGCCATGTCTAACAAATACAACCAGATGCTAAGTTTTGCTTTAATAGGAATATTATTTGTGGAAACAGCGCCCAAAGAGGGCTACCGTTTTCTTTGTTGCTAAGATGACCCCCCAAATTCTTGATAGACAGTACTATAAATCACTTAAATAGCTTCTAAAACTCACAAATGGACAAAATATGCTTTTAGAGCAACAAAAAGAAATACACATAGGGACTTGGAGTGAGGTGGGGGCAACTTCTGAACCATCATCTTCAACTGAGTTGAGTTACTCATGTTTATGAATTCTTGTGTAAAGTATGTGAGCAAGATAGGCTGGGGGAGGAAGGAGGGGTCAGGAGGACTTTAAAGAAGCTGGAAGGACATCAGGTTTCAATAGTCAATGTTGAAGGGGACAATCACCCAGATAATGATCAATTCCCATCTCATTTCTACCTAGGTTGGGGTTCCACAGAGATTTAGTGTATATGTGATCATCCAGGGCAAAGAGAAACTCCTGTATCCTCCCTAGAGGGCTGTAACCCACCCCATGGAAGGACTCACAAAAAAGGCCAGAGTAGGAGTTATCCAACACAATTTCGCTCAATTCATACCTTCCACCCAATTGTACCAAGTCAGAAGAGCTCAAACAACAGGCATTTATAAAGTGTTTATTAGCCAAGCCTTGGGCTAAGTGTTGGGAATACAAGGAAAAAAGCAAGAACAGTCCCTCCCCTCGAAGAAATTACATTTGAATGGGAGAGAGAACACATACAGATCAGTACACGTGGAATACAGAATAGATAAAATAGTTGCCCTTAGAGGTGATGGCCCTGTGGCACTGGCAGATGAGGGCACCATGAAAGGTCTCCTGGAGGAGGTGCTACTTGAGCTGAGTCCTGAAGGAAACCAGAGATTCTAAGAATTGGAGTTTGGGAGGGAGGGCATTCTAGGCATAGGCAATAGCTGGTGCAAAGAGACAGGACACAGTGGGGTAATATGGGAGGTTGGATTGTAGAGTATGTGGAAGGAAAGAGAAGATGATCTGGGCCAACTGTGAAGAGCTTTACATGCCAAAACAAGGATTTTAGATTTGATCTCAGAAATAATGAGGAGGCCTTGGAATTTATTGAGTTTGGGGTGACATGGGAACATGGTTAGGCCTGTGCTTTAGGAAAATCACTTTGGGAGCTGATACGAGCATGGCTTGGAGTGGGAAAGAGATTTGAGGCAGGTAAGAAATGAATCTTCAGTTCCCAGAAGAAACTAAACATGGGCCCCATAAAACAACAGAATGCCAAAATTCATTTGAGTATTTTATTTATAAATGTACATTTACTATAAAAGCTGTTGCATTTTAGACAACTTTTTGCTACTCTTCAGAGGCATTTTAGAATAAATATTGTAAATGAAGGTTAGTGTAACTGATATAGCACATTAGCCAACCTAGAACAGTAAGTATTCTTCTGGCTGGTCTTGCATATGATGTAGGTCCTTTTACTTCATTAACTTTGATGCTTCAAATAGATAACTACGGTATGTTTCATATTAATAACACTACATAGAAAGAGTGAGGAAACACCATCAAAGTTTGACAGTGAAACACACATACACAGTTATAGTGGAGTTATCCATGTTTTCTGAAGAATGAGAAAGGAACAGCTTTCGGAGGATCTAAGAAAAAGTCAGATCTCATCTTTCCTCAAGAATAATAAATCATTTACTTTTCTCCTTTTCTTTCTTTGTTTCATTCTAAAACTCAACACACATGTATAGTACAACCCAGTGTAGTAAAGCATTGTTGTTGTTGTGGTTGTTTTCTCCCCCTGGGATCTCTGAGATTATTTAACAAGAAATCTTCATATTTATTATGTTGAATTGGAGAAAAAAGGCCTAGGCTTTCTAAAATGTCATTTAGCAGACTCCGAATGAAATATAAATCAAATAGAAATAGGAACAGTTGGTAACTAGAATTTAGAATGCTGGAGATGATTCTGTGCTGGTGACTAGAGTTCATTATGGAAAAAAAAAGAGTATCTTGCGGCTGGAAAATGGGTCTTTATTTTTCTTGACTGGATTCTAGCTTCAATACACGTATGATGAGACTCACTAAGAAAAATGTATAAATGAGGCTATGGGAACCAGAAAAGAATGTGCAATATTCATGTATTTCTTATGTAACGGATGGAGTTTCATAGGTAAAAAGGGTTCTATAAAAATCGGTTATGAATATTGAAATTGTGCATGTTTTGTGCATTACGTGAGAGAGTACTCTGTGAACACCATGCAAAATGTAAACATCAACATTATCAAAATATCTAACAATAAAACATGCAGATGGTTAATCAAAATATCAGACTGAATATCTGTACATTTCCAAAACTATTTTTTTTTCATTTTTGTAAAACAGCAACCACTACCAGGAGGAGTCTCGGGAACTGAAGGTCTCAGGAATGACTTCGTTCCTCTTAAATTCACTGTATCCATAAGTCATCACTGACTATGTGCAACAGCTTTGCATTTTCTAAGGCACAATTTTAATGAAATGATGTTTAAGGTTCAATCCAACAGCATTTCCAAATGACAACATAGTAACAATACCTTCAGTAACCAAGAAGAAATTCTGCACAAGCACGGAACTGGCATGCAAAGGACCATCTAGCATAGCATGTAAATAAATACTCACTAGCTATACCAAATAACACATAGAAAAATTATTGCTTATCTAATAAACAGCCACGTTATATCCCTTTACTAATACAGTAACATACCGTTAATGGGTTTATCTTCCACATTCGCAACAAATCTTTATTCATTTAACATGGTTTTAAGGCAGAATAAATAGGTGTCCCAACACCACCTGCTCCTCCCCTGCCCTCCCACCCCTAGTTTTCAAGAAAAAAATCCCGGGAAAGTTAAAATGAGGATTTTCAACAACTTTCTCCTTTCTTCAGCCAGCTGAAATTCATTATGTGATACATGGAGTTAAACAAATCAATTCCTGGTTAAAGTTCTCCATGATTAATAGCTGGAACTCTTGACAATGAAGAAGAGAGTTAAGAGGAACATGCAAATAGCCATTAAAATGGACAAGGTACAGTGTGCCCTGTAGGATCTTGCTGCTCACACACAAGTCAGTGAAATATCGCATGTTATCACATCCTTTTTAAGTGATTTTTAAGCAGAGGCTCTCAAGCTTATCTCTGTACATATATGGCACAGGGCACCAGGTACCCAAGACATATGATGCATCCCTCCTAGACCGATATGTAACAACTCTTGCTCTTTCTCCTGGGAATGTTGTAAATGATATTGACCAAGAACATCACGTTATCATTGTTGCTCTTGACATCCCACTTGTTGTTGGGAGAGAGTCAGCTTCCTCTTCCTCTCTCAGATTCGGGTAGCACAGTACTGCAATAATCCTAAAAAAGGACTGACTGAAATCATCTCATCTCTCTTTCTCACACTCTTGGGAAATGCCTCCATTCAGTCAGAGTATGGGCCCAGCAGGCTTTACAAGAGTTCTCTTTATTTGACAGAATAATCTACATTAATGATGTAACTTTGAAAGTACACGAATGTTAATGGTGCAATAATTTATGGGCCTGCCCTCGAAAGGTACAGAACACAAATGGTTCAGAATTACAGTATGTATTCTCAAACTAGTTATCTTTGTACAAAAAAAAAGTTATAGCTCAATAACAGAAAATCACTCTCTGTGATTTTTAGTTCAGAAATGTATTCATCAGATGCTCCCTCAGCAGAGTGCTCATCTCACATTGGCATGTCCTGCACTTTCTATAGTTCAGTTTCGTAAACTTAAAATGTTTAGCTTCTAGAAATTTCAAAACAGAAGGTTTTGTTGCATTTTTTTAATCTTAATTCCCGAAAAGGATAATATCACATTTTAAATCATCAACATATCTTGCCATACCAAAGAAACCCCACGCAACTTTCTGAAGGATTCGGGATCAAAATAACTCAATATTCTCTCAAGAGATACTGTGCAAATGCAAAATGGAAAAAAAAAAAGGAAAACACAAACATACATTGCGCTATAAAGGAACAGACACAGCCTTTTAGTATAGCTTTTTAAAAATTAAATGAGTGCCAAGAAACCCCACAAATATGGGCATTTGTAAGTGATTGTCCAGGACATCCCCAAAGGGAGGAGTGGGAGGCGATTTGTGAGAGTGAAAACCATGTCACAATGTTGTTGGCTGACCAGCACCTAGTGAAAAGAAAGCCAAAGAGAACTGAGTGACAGTATTTAACAATTCTGGTTTCTTGATTCCATAAACCTATAGAACCTATATAGAACAGTTTTATAAAGGCCTGCAGTTTGTATTTATACTGCTTTTTGGTTTTGCTAAGCACTCTCACATTCCAATGCATTCTCCACATAATTCTATGTAAATAAACAGAGGTATCTGCCCAAAGAAAATGCACCTTGGAGGCCTACCTACACAGGTTCCAATGAGAATCAGGTTAGAAAGAGAGTTTAAGGCCAAGTTTCTCATTAGTTCTCATTCTCATAACATACTGTCTAATTTTGAATAGACTCATCATAGTTTATTATGAGTGGGGTAAATATGGGCTACCATTTGCTTGTATTAAAAAAAAGGAATCAATCATGATAATAGCTAGCATTTATATTGTGTTTTAAAGTTTGCAGAGGGCTTCATATATGTTATTTCATGTGAGCTTTACAACTCTGTGAAACAAGTATTATTGTTCTCATTTGATAGATAAGGAAACTCAGGCAGACAGAGTTTAACTGACTTGCCCAGGGTCACACAGCTGGTAAGTGCCTGAAACCAGTCATGCTCTAGACCTTGTGACTCCAAGTCTTGCACTTGGGGTACCTGCCACTCTGACCATTTTCCCTAGTATTAGAGAAAGAAGGAAAACTTGAGAAGCCTCCAAGTGACATCATCTATCAGCACACCAATACACACTGTTCCATATGCAAAGGACAGTTCCTAACCTCAAGATTTCACTCTATGGTGAGCCAAAAGAAATTTCTGGGATTTTGTCTTCTATGGGGATAAAAAAGAAGGCTGGAAAACTTCTCCCTCCTTTGCCTTGATATTACCCCGGGATCAAACATCATCTGTTGGGAGCAGGTGGTGGGGAAAAAGTGGGGGGTCTGAAGTAAAATGGAAGTGGTCATTTTGGACCAATGAGCTGAGGTCTCTACATTCCTCATTGAAATCTTCATAGCATTTCTCCATCTTCAGCAAAACAACGAGGAGGAGGCACATATTCAATTATAAAGTACTGAGGGACCTTTCCTAAATGTATTTCATAGTAAGAGATGATTGAACAGAACACCGTATACAGAGTATACGTAAGTAACCAGGGACAGAAATTAAGCATGTGACAGCATTACATGTTATGGCCAATTTATGACCCATTTTGGATGCTATTTGCATAAGATCTTCAAAGTGTTTAGGTAGCTTTCAGGAATTCCATTTTAATACCCTCTCATGCTATCAGTTTAAAAACTATTTGAATATATCTCCTTACTCCTTGAAAACAAGATTATGTATATTTCGTTTTTACTATTCAATTGAATAAAATTATTTTCATTTCCTCAGAAAACTATTATAGTAAACCTTCCATACTGATCCTCTCTCTGTCTCTTTTTTCTCAGATAAAAATAAGAAAGGATATGTAAAAACATTTCTAGTGCTTACCTCTAGATCTGATTATTTCCCTGGTATCTGGGATTGCTTCATCCATTCAAATGCATTAACACTCTTCTAGCTAAATGTACAATCCCTCCTTAACTTTCAAAGCTAATTCAGTTTTTATAACAGCAAAGAAAGGCATAGGAGCACTTGCTCAAGTAGATAAGGGCTTTTAAGCCCCTTTCATGAAAAACCTCATCAGCCCTTCTTGGAAACATTTTTGCCGTTCCAATCATGAGTAAGATTTCTATGTTTGGAGAGTATTGTGAGAAATACAGGCTTTAAATAGGTGAACAGATTTATCTCCCCATGTCAGTTTTAATAAAAGTCTACAATGGAAAAACGTAGCTGTGTCACCACACTGAATATCTGGTTTCCCAGGTTTGAGATTACGCAGAACGGCATAATAACCACACAGATTCAACATAGTCCAGGGGAAAGCATAATGGCTAAGAAATCAGAGAACCTGGGTTCAAATCACACTTCGAAGTGTTATTCTTTCTGGAAGACTGAGCAATTTCACTGGGCCAAAAGATAAAATTAGTGGGTTAAATCAGATGGCCTCAGAGGTCTCTTACAGTTCTAGATCAGAGATGATATAAAGGGACTTCAATATATTCTTAACTTTAAAAATAATTCATCTTACATTTCAATACTTAAAAGAAAAAATTTCTTCAAACAGCATAATTTCCCCTAGATGTCACATTTTTACAGCTTAATTTGCAAACATCCTTAAAAATGAAATCAAGATGAAAGGAATCTAGCTCCTTCCCTTCCAACTCTGAGGGCCTATGGGATCTTTTATGTTCCTCTGGTACCCTCAGAGTAATTCCAGGTGAAGGACAGAGAGCACCACGCCCCATCACTTTTATTTCTCTGCTAAATAGTTTTCCGACTTAACAGTGCCATCTTCTGATTACTCAAGTCATATTCAGCTGTAATGCTGAAGAAAAAGCTTCATCTGGGAAGATGAGGGGAAAATCACTTTGAAACAGATAGCAGTCAAGCAGCTGTATTTCTCCCCTGGAGTATATTTTAAAAGTAAATCCAGTTGTATACATAAATCTTGCTAAGGTTCCATTAGAGCCACTCAGTAAGTTGACACTTGAGAAGGTGTTATGTATTTATTTCCCATGCTCCTCAAAGGAAGCTTTTGTAATAATCAAGCCAGATTCACGGGAAATCCACTTAGCTGTTCAGTCCCACACTTTCTTTAAGGTAATAGGTATGGGTGCCTATTCCCTCCACCCATACCCTGCCAATTTCACTTTTTAAAAGGAAAACACTATCCATACAAAATAAATGAATTGTAATTAAATGATGGTAAAGTAAAATTTCAATTTTTTTCCTCAAAGTTAAAATTGTGTATGTATTATATTTAAAGATGTTGGCATGAAAATCTTTAACTTTACTATCTCATAGTCCAAAGGAGATTTTATTAACCTAAAACAAACACAAAATGCCCCCAACGATTACAGAATTTCTGACTAATCGTGTTGCAGTTCACTTAAATTTTCTCAGATCAAAACACCCCAAGACTTGGTGTTTTCTAAGTGTTCTGAACTTGAAACGGAATTTATTAAAGGGAAGACAGCCGTTGTGCAACATCGCCCTCTGGTGTTACAAAATATATAAGCAGCCTTTTCCCAGAGCATTCTATTTCACCTTCCTTCTAATATAAACTTTCCCCCCCTGTTTTATTTTTCACATTTTGCTAGGGACTGAGGGGACACTCAGGAGTAAAAGGGATGCTCTTTTTCTTAAGTTTACAAATAAGTTGGGAAGACTGTCATGATTTAGTGGAAAGAGCCTAGAACCTAGAATCAGAGGGCAAATCCTGACTTCCCACCTTATGACCAGAGTTATCTCGGGCAAATCACTTTCTCTCTCTTAGTCCTCAGTTTCCTTAGCTAGAAAAAGAGGGGACTGGATTTTGCTGCTGTTGTTTGGTAGCTTTTGTCATGTCCGAGGCTCTTCGTGACCCTATTTGGAGTTTTCTTGGTAAAGATACTGGAATGCTATTTCCTTCTTCAGCTCATTTTACAAATGAGGAAACCAAAAGGAACAGGGCTAAGTGACTTGCCTAGGGTCACACAGCTATTAAAAGTCTGAGGCCAGATTTGAGCTCATGAAGATGGCTTCTATATCCCTTTCTAATTCTTCTTTCTACAAACCCTATGCCACAAATCTACTTCAGCATGTAATCAGGAGCCACAATGCGAGGCACATGCTATGTTTTAGTGACTGAGGAATTCAGGAAATTAATTGGGGTTAAGTAGTTAGAGAAGACTTCATGCTAGTTGTGTAATACTCCTTCAGGAAAAGCTTTCGCCCGGGAGAGAAGGAAGGAGAATGCATTTTATCTGAGTAAAGAAATGGAGATGGGGCAGCTAGGTGGCGTAGTGGATAGATCACCGGCCCTGGAGTCAGGAGGACCTGAGTTCAAATCAGGCCTCAGACACATGACACTTACCAGCTGTGTGACCCTGGGCAAGTCACTTAACACCACTGCCTAGCCAAAACAAAAAACAAACAAACAAACAAAGACTTACTCCTGGACCGGATGTAGCAGTCATTGCAGTTCAGCAAGCCATTGCGAATCCTGACATCTGTTCCACTCACTGAATCTCCAAGCTGTCCTTTGCAGATTCCACACTGTCCATTAAACAAAATGGAAGTCATGTAAGAAAGGCATCTGTCATTCACAGAGAAATCATCAGAAAAGTAGAATCCCTTTCTATAGATCAAATGAAACCTCACTGGGAGTTTGGATATGCAAATGACATTTAGAGCATTGACTGAAACTTGTCTGAATCTTTCAGGGGGAAAAAATCTGTAAATAAGACCCAGAAGATTTCCAGGACTTTGCTGAAGTTCCAAGAGATCTGCTACAAAGAAACAAAAGCTCTTCTTCTTGAGATTTCAAAACTGTTTTCCATGTAGTGATCCTTAATTAAATCCCCCGGGGAACAAGATTCCTTTCAACACCATTTTTTCAGGTATGGAAAGACGTTGGAGGACATTCTGATTTCCTCTATACTGGGTGAGTGGTGGTGGTGATTCAGGAGGACAATGGAGTGACTCTGTCATGTACAGCCTTTTTCTGGGGAGGTCAGAAACCAGGGATACAAGATGGGAGACTGTAGCCTGAAGGTTTGTGAGTAGGTGGGAGAGGGTGGGGCTCCATGAAGACCTCCTGCTGCCTGAAGATCACTGGGTGAGGGACCATCTTGACAAGGGAGGGATGTAGGCCAAATGAGCTAGGCAGCTGCTATACCTGGACGAGAGGGAGTAACCTCAAGGACTCAACAAAGAGGGAATCGCATTTTGGAATCCCTACTTAGCCTCCCCTAGACCATTTTTGCCTTTGAAAAGTATCTATTCTTTCAAGCTATCAAAGTTTCAAAAAATCATTTTGCATATTAATTATAAGTTCTCTTATTGAAAATGGCTTGCTTGTATTTTTATGAACTGCTTTGTGATTAAAAACAAAATATAATTTAGGGAAGAATCATATTCGTCCTAATACTGTGGATACAGAGATTGAGAAGCATTGTGCTATTGTAGATAGATAACAGAGTCAGGAAGAGCTGGGTTCAAGTCTCAAACTCAGATACATTCAGGGTCTGTGACTCTGGGAAAATCACTTGACCCCTCATTTAACCGGGAAGCCCTCTAAGACTGTAAGTCATGAACTAGTTACTGTTCTACATTGCTGGAAGGAGTTTCCTCACCAGAAGCTCTCTATACCAATGAAATCATGTCTATCCTCTTCCCCCTACCTTCAAATAAACAAACTACCCAAATCTGACAGTGTCAAGGGCCCACATTATCATTTATTTGTTAGCATTATTGCTTTGTCTTCTTTTCTTTTAGTCCTCCATTTAGACCACCAGACGGCCATTTAATCCAACACATTAGTTATGCCCTACAACTCTATCTGTAAAGCACCATGAGTGCACAGCACGTACCCTTTCTAAACATTGTCTCTCCTTCAGTGCCTAATGCTCTGCACACAGTAGGTATTTAATAAATGCTGAACTGAACTTAAGGGCGTCATGGACTGGAAATATAGCACACTTAGAGAGTGTGAGTGAACACACACTCTGCTTAGGTACGTGTTTGGCAGCGGTGTGAATGGAGATGCCACTTACCTCTAATTTGGAGCTAGGAGCAGAGTGAGAAGAGGGAGAAGGAGACGGCTAAAGAACACTCACCTCTATACCCTACATTTCTCAATATAAATATGGTTTTGAGACTTAGGATCACAGCAACCAATTAACGAGCTCAATTGTCAAGGGTTAAACCAAAACCTTCCATCACCTAAGGGAACTGGCCAAGATCCTAACAGCTCCTAATATTCATTCATTAAAATTTCAGGGATGAGAAAGAATTTTCAGGTTCCAAATACATTCAGAGGCTAACAGACTTGTAATCGGCATTTTCCTCTTGGAGTATTTCAGGGTGGAATTCTTAGCTCCCTACTGGAGAACACATTTCTTTACGTCATACACTATTCAGGCCAGGGCAAACACCTACAAAGAAAGGTAAACAAATCTAGCTGTGCCTTCTAGGGATGATAAGATGGCAGAGATGAGACTAGATACAGAAGGACATACAGCGTGGCAGCAGTGTAAAAAGAGGAACAATATCCATCTTACAAATACTGGCACAACGTGTGCTCCCCACACAGAATGATAAGAAAGCATATCGTGGGCTCTTATTTAGCTAGAGAATAATGAATACATACCCTGAAGCAGTGGATGTGAAAATAAAGGCTAAGTGTTTCAATGATCATGGCGGCTCCTTTCCCCAGAGGAAGGCCACAAGCAGAGCATAACTTCTTTCCACTTATAGACCTGAATGAAAACACACGTGCACACCGTCTGTATGACACAGGGCAGGCTAACTCATCCTGCTACTAAGAAACGAAAATGCAAATTTTAAAAGGGCATATTACTAGTTATTTTCACTGCCCCTAAAGGTGACTGAGCTAAGTCATTGAGATGGTCACAAGTACTGACAGGAAGCTTCCTGAAATTCAAGATTCAATTAAGTAAATTCAATAAATGTTCAATTCAATAAGCATTTATTAAGCACCTTATAGTGTTATAGCTCATTCATTAGAAGATAAAAAGACACTTGGCTAACTAGGTCCATAGGCTATCTTTCACTGTCTTTACTGCTGATTGAGCTTTCTGCTCTGAACCTGGCACGATTTCAGAGTGGTATGATGCCTCTGTAAGAGTGGCATTCATTCACTCATTCGTTCAACAAACGTTTATTAAGGACCTATTATGTCGAAGGTTCTGCTTCAATACTCAATGAATCTCTCTGATCTTATCAGGAGCAGCACTACCACCAAGGGCTCAGATTGCAAGCTATGCATGCCTTCTCATTCCATGCAATTCTAGGCCGTGATGTTCTATAAAACGCAATTAAAGCCCTGTGGAAACAGCAGAGCCAGTGTTTGATGCTTCACTTTTTCAGAAGGTGAAACAGAATGGGTTTCCTGTATTCGAAGAGGTTTGGACGAACTCCCCAAACTAAGTTGGCAGGTAGCAATTCAGGTAAAATTCTAGCGGCTTCTAAGCTAAGAGAATAATCAAACAGAACAAGGCAGCTCATGAAGGGCCAATGGCCTTTCGTACCTGTTGGGAGATTGGCCGGGAGGGGTAGGAGAGCATGGGGATAACTGCCCAGCTCTGAAATTCTCAAGAGGGCTTGTCCTGAAATGTGAAAAAAAGAAATGAAGAATTATGACAAGGATAAATAAAGCACCCGAAGGCTAATCACAAGACAGCAGCTTTTTCACTATGAAAACAACAAAGACCCTAGCAACTCTCCATGATGAAAAAAAAAGGGTGAAGAAACAGCACTTGTACTTTACAAAGGCTTTTCAGTATATTCTCTGCCTGGTATCTATGATAAAATCTATGTGGCTTTGACAGGACAAAGCTAGAAAGGTCAGGATGCCTTTTCTAGTATTTATTTTTGCCTGGTAGGTCTTTTAACTAAATTTTCTAAGCTGCTCTTATAGTTCTTTATAACAAAATGTGACCTGCCCCAGCAGAAAATGTCCACCAATAATTCTGTCCTTAGAGAGAGTCAGAAAACAAATGGCCAAGTGTAGGTATGTGGTCAGCCTCACTATAAATAGGCCCTCCCACTAGGGAATAAATCTATATAGTCACATATGTAATTAGCATTTCAAAGGCAATATTTTAAGTGTGTTACCCTTCTCATCTTGTAAAATCAATGCCCCATGGATAGAACTGATTAAAATTCTTATTTCTGTGCTTTTTTTTTTAAAAAGAGTTTCTACCTTTCCACCTTGTTAAAAGGATACACCCTTAAGATACATATTAAAAAAAACCCAGTGACACAGAGATGAATAATGCAATTCCCAAATCCTGCTCATTTTTAAAAAGTGGCATGTACTTTAGAAATAAGCCCCAAAGAAAGAAAGAAAGAAAAAAAAAAGGAAATGAATTTGAACATTCAACTAAGAAAAGCAACCTGTCATAGGATTTAATAAATAAGTTGAGTAAGAATCAACACACCAGCAACTTTAAAAATAACAGGTGAAATGACTAGCTAAATTATAAGAAATGTCACATAAAAGCTGTTAGAACTGCCAGAAGTCTCACTGCTCAAACAAAGCATGAGTAAGTTTTGATGATGGGTCATAGGGTGAGGCGAACTCTTGCCATACTGTTAGCAGAATCTGTCATTGCTGCTGTCTGTCCTTAGTTCTTGAAGAGGACCATGACATTAAGAAGGTGATCCCATGACTTGTTAGTGAACTGGACTTAAGTGAGGGAGGGTTGTGCAAAGTTACCAGCCTCATTTTTCTGAGTCCAGTGGTGAGAGATAGATTAGGACAACTGGAAATGGCCCCGCAACTAGCAGAAAGTTATAATTTCCACATAATTAGAGTAAGTTTTAGATGAACTCCAATTTCTGAACCCACATTTCACTTTTAGTTTCTGAGACATGTGACTTACTCCTTTTAAAATAATTTCTGAACTCTAGTCTTTTGCTACTTATTGTGGTAAAAGCAGCAGGTCCACAATTCCTTTTAGTTTAGTTTTTTATTTTATTTGTTTAGTTTTCTTTTATTCCAAAATCCATTTTTCTCATTTTTTAGTTTCTGGGAGTATTTAATTAAAGAATATAGTATGAAATATTGCAGTTGTCAAGATGCCTGATCTGGGTTTGGAAACTAGTCACTAGTCAGAACTTTACCTTAGTGAAAATGGGTAAAAGTTACAAAAAGTGACACCAACATCCCACTGTCTTGTTTTTCTTTTTACTTCATTTTTCTATTTGGTGACCACATTAAAAAAGAAACCTCCTAGGTACTCACTTCCTTCTCTCACTGGGAGAGGCAACCTGGTGGTTGATGCTTTGATCCGCTGGGAGGGTTTTCTGTTTCACATCTTCTAATGCATGTGATGGCGCAGGTGACCATGGCTGATTCCATGATGTGTCTGAATTTGAGAGATTAGTAATTTTTCCAGTAAAAGTCAGGCATACCAAAAGAACTTTTTAATCATCCCTTTCAATTTCAATCCACTTTTAGGGAAGTCAAACACCACTTGGAATGTACCTTCTAAAATAAACGCTCGGATGTGGACCACAGTGGCAGTGAGTGGTACACTGGAGAAAGTACTGCATAGCACATTTCTATAAGCTGCATCTAAATGAATATCAATGTCATAACCTACCAAGAGAGGCATCCATGTTGATACTGCTTTACAATAAATTCACGTTTCCTACCAAAAATGTTTACTTGGTCAACATGTTTTGCTTTGACTCTACATACACCAGTCATTCTAGCTCCTCTTCTTGGCTATGCCCTTCTCACTCTTATGCTGACTATTGTGGAGGGAGGGTCTAGCAGAAAGATGGCTGAATCTAGTCAGCAGGACTTGGTTTGAACAGGCCCTGCCAATTAGAAACTGCAGGACACCTAGCAAATTATTTCCTCTCCTGAGCATCAATTTTCTCAACAATAAAATGAGAAAGTTAGATTAGATGGCCTCTAATTTGTTTATTCTAGCTCTGAATATAGGATTTTAAGAGTAAGAATATTTTCCATGAAAACAGTAACTCAGGGTCATATCCCACTCCCCCTGCCCGGCCCTTCCCATGCCCCCAGTAAAAAACACAACTCCCAGAAAAATAAAATGACATGGAAATGAAAAGGAGAGCATTGATCTGTGCCAACAGCACCTCACATTTATATGTGAATTTTGGAAAGGATTTTCCTAATAACAATATTGTAATGTAGAAGTCATTATGTCCATTTTATAGATGAGGAAATTGAGATTGAGTTGTTAAGTGGCTTACCCATGATTACACAGATTGTGGGTGTCTTTGGGGGATTTGTCTCCTAACTACAAATCCCCACACTATCCATGACTTCATGCTGCCCCTCAGTATGGTGGAAGGACCACAATACTTAGCATAAAAAGGGAAAGCAAAGCATACTATACAACAATGAAGTTAATTTGCTCTGGTTTTTGAGAGGTTCTTGTTACAAACTAAGACGTAACCAAGGATTTATTTCCTTTTATTCTTACCCTGAGATAACTCTAGGTTCAGCCTGCGGTCTGCTGTACCAGGCTCAGCTGCTGACAACTGATGGTCCTGATGACTTCCTTTTGGGACAGAGGTTTCTGGATGTGCTGGGGTCACCTGTGGTACGCTGCTAACGATAAAATCATGTGGTATTTTACAAATAGAAAGGAGGATGACAGCACATAAGTGGAAGAAAACCTTTGTAATCTGGCATGTTTGAAAAACGGGCATGAGGGTTAATTGAAAGATTTACAGAATGTAGGCTTCACGATGACTTAATTCATGTTGCTTCCAGTGGCCTCCCTCTTTTCATTTTCTTTGATCTTTTATCCTGTTAACCACTAAGTGAAGGAAGGAGCCATGAATCTTCATCGTTTGCAAACAGCCTTTAGAGGCAGGGTATCTAACATGCTCCCCTTCCTCCCCAAAGAAATCAGCAGGAATGTAACTCAGCTGCTCAGCAAGGTATTCTGATTAGTCTCGGCACCTCTGGAGATAATTGCTAGGTTGCAGTGTTTATTGGGAGATATCAGAAATGCTGGCTTCTAGAGTTTGGTAATTCCAACTCCTGCACTTTTACTCTAGCTTCTTACTGAATGAATGAAACCGCCTTTGAATGCTTACTATCGATTCCTCATTTTCCCTATGGATTTGTGATCTCACCTATCATTCTTGCTACATGACTGGGACATCTCCTTTTCTAGTAATATATCTCTGAGGTGGTGCTTTAGGCTACTTCTCATGTAAAAGTCATTACTGGCAGTCTGCTATAGCCTAGTGATATTTTATAGCCCCTCCAATAACCTGCAATGTGGTTCTTCTGACATCAAAATCTGCAGCTATATAGCATCACCTGAAAAATACTGATGTATACCTGAGGGGAGAGATAGGAGACAGCATGTGTGTATGTGTGTGTGTTGGGGGCAGGGGATCCAACCTGGACCATTACCTCCCCTCAGACCCTCATGAAGACAGCTCAGGACTGAGGCCAAGATCCCAGACCCTGCTGCCAACTTAGCCCTTATAGTTTTGATCAAGAGCATCAACCCTTCAGACCCTTCACCTTGATCCCTGCCTGCCCCCCCCCCACACGCCCAGGCTGCTACAGGGCACAGAAACTGCCCCTTACAGAGATGTGACCTGATAGGTGGTTCAGTCCCCACCCACAGCCCCCTCAGCAGCCACATCTACTGAAATCCCCCAAAAGAAAGTTCTAGCCACCAAAGTCCTTGGCATTTCAACATCAGAAAACAACATGGTTTTATTAATGGAAATGACATTCAAGAAGGCTCATTACTATCCATCTTGTCACTGTACCCTAAAGACCACAGGGCCTTGCCCCTGGACTTGTATCTGAAACCTCTTATCTGGACTGCTCCTCCTCCCAGGAGAATGTGAGCTCCTTGAGAACAGAAGTGTGTCTTGCTTGTCTTTTGGTCTCCCCAGGGCTTAGCACAGTGCCTGGCACATGGAAAGCACAAAATCAATGTTTTTTTCATCTATTCATGTGAATAAGATAGGCTTTTGAGGCAGTGAGCAGCTTGGGCTTGAAAGTACTTCAGAGTCTCTCACATGTGGTCTACAGCAATCACTGCTCCTGTTCAGTTCAGGGCCCAGCCCTCTGTTCACTGGCAATCCCTGTCCAAGATAGGCATGCTGATTGACAAACTTAATGGGCTGCCTGTTTAAGCCTATGCCTAGTTGTCTAAGTATCTACGTTTTCCCCCATCTCCTTTGTTTTTTCCAGTGTAAGTGACTAAGTCATCCTCTTTTAAAAAATATTTTATTTTTAATTAATGAGCATTTATTTTATCTTCTTCCTACCCCAATTGAAGAGAGAAAACAAAACCCTTATTACAAATATGCACAGTAAAGCAAAACAAATCCCCACATTGTGCATGGCCACAAATGTATGCCTCATTCCGAAACCTGAATTAATCGCCTCTCTTTTAGGAGCTGGAGAGCCTACTTCATCATTAGTCTTCTGGAATGAATTATGGTTGATCATGGTATTAATCACAGTTCTTAAGCCCTTCATAGTTGTTTTTTCCTTGCAGTGTAACAACATTTTCTTGGTTCTGCTCATTTCACCCCACATCAGTTCATATAAGTCTTCCCTGGTCCCCGTGAAACCATCCCATTCATCATTTCCTATAGCACAATAGTACTCTACTACATTGATATACCATAATTTGTTCAGCCATTGCCCAATTAATGAGTATGTCCTTAGTTTCCAGTTCTTTGGGGCCCATCTCTTTAGCAGCCTGGTAAAGGGGCCATGACACATGATAAAGGTTAGGAGCCCTTGATCTAGAGGAAAGGGAGAAGTGAGCCTAGGACAGAATCCTGAGGGAGATGGAGATCAACGATTACCTAGCAAAGGTAAATAAGAGAAAGGGTGGTAAGAAAGAGGACCAAGAGCTGGCAGGGGGAGCCAAGATGGTGGAGTAAAGGCAGGGATTGGCCTGAGCTCTCCCCCAACCCTTCCAAATGCCTTTAAAAAATGACTCTAAACAAATTCTAGAGCAGGAGCACCCACAAAAAGATGGAATGAAACAAATTTCCAGCCCAAGATGACTTGGAAGGTAGGCAGGAAAGGTCTGTTGCACCAGTGTGGGAGAAGAGCACAGTACAGCACAGTCCATGCCAGTGAAGACCCGGCCCCAGCAAACCTGCAGCAGGCATCTGAACAACTGAATCACTGGCAGCACTGGTGCTTTCTAGTACTCTAAGCCCACAGATGCCAAAGACAACTCTGAAGGTCAGCAGGAAATGTCTGTCGCACCCGGGTGAGGGTGGAGTGCAGCTTAGCGTAGGCTGCGCCAGCACAGCCCTGGCCCCAGAAAACTAGGAGCAAGCCTTGGAATGACTGAATAGGCAGTGGTAGCAGCAGCATCTACTTCTGGAGCTCTCAGCCCACAGATGGGTCGAACAATTGGTCTGAAGGAGATCACAGGAGTCTTTTTGCTAGCACTGAGGCAGGACTCTATTGCTTTTCCCATGCTTGGATCCAGGTCACAGTCATTAAGGGCAGTCCCAGGGTAAATGTCCCAGGGCATAGCAGAGCTTGCAGCCACAGTTCCAAGACATAAAAGAGTGCTTATGGTCACTCTCAGACCACAGCACAGGCCAGGAGAGTAGTAAACACTTCTCTTTGGATCATACCACTTGGAAGAACTGAAAACTTAGAGGTCCCTAGAAGTATCCTGAAAAAAGCTGCACAAAACCCCGGAAGCTTGTGATGGTGTATCCTCCACCCTGGAAGCAGAGCTCTACTGTAACAAAGTTAAAAGTCAAGCAATAAGGTGGGGAAATGAGCAAACAATAGGGAAAAAAAACCTCTTGACTATAGAAAGTTATTATGGTGACTAAGAAAGATCAAAATACACACTCAGAAGAAGACAACAAAGTCAAAGCTCCTACATCCAAAGCCTTCAACAAAAAAATGTAAATTGGTCTCAGGCCATAGAAGAGCTCAAAAAGGATTTTGAAAATCAAGTAAGAGAAGTAGATGAAAAATTGGGAAAAGAAAGGAGAGCAATAGAAGAAAATCATGAAAAACAAGTCAACAGCTTGGTAAAGAAGACACAAAAAAATACTAAAGAAAACAGCACCTTAAAAAACAGACTAGGCCAAATGGTAAAAGAAGTCCAAAAAGCCAATGAGGAGAAGAATGCCTTATAAAGCAGAATTCGCCAAATGGAAAAGGAGGTCCAAAGGCTCACTGAAGAAAATAATTCCTTAAAAATTAGAAAGGAGCAAATAGAAGTTGTTAACTTTATGAGAAATCAAGAAACAACAAAACAAAATCAAAAGAATGAAAAAATAGAAGACAACATGAAATATCTCACTGGAAAAACAACTGGCCTGGAGAATAGATCCAGGAGATATAATTTTAAAAATCATTGGGCTACTTGAAAGCCATGATCAAAAAAAGAGGCTAGACATCATCTCTCGAGAAATTATCAAGGAAAACTGCCCTGACATTCTAGAACCAGAGGGCAAAACAGAAATTGAAAGAATTCACTGATCCTCTCCCTAAAAGAGATCCCAAAATTAAAAACTCTCAGGAAGATTATAGCCAAATTCCAGAGCTCCCAGGTCAAAGAAATAATTCAAGTATGGTGGAGCCACAGTCAGGACAACACAAGATTTAGCAGCTTCTACATTAAAGGATCGGAGGGTTTGGAATATCATGTTCTGGAGGGCAAGGGAGCTAGGACTACAATCAAGAATCACCTACCCAGCAAAACTGAGTATAATCCAGCAGGGGAAAAAATGGGCATTCAATGAGATAGAGGACTTTCAAGCATTCTTGATGAAAAGACCACAGTATTAAGGTTAGTTAGAAGGAATACATATATATAGACAGAAGGCACAGATGTGATTGAATATGAAGGGATGATATCTAAAAAATAAAATTAAGGGTTGAGAGAGGAATGTACTGGTAGAAAGAGAAAGGGAGAGGTAGAATAGAGTAAATTATCTCACATAAAAGAGGCAAGAAAAAGCTTTTACAGTGGAGGGGAAGAGGAAGAGGTCAGCGGGAGTGAGTAAACCTTACTCTCATCAGAATTGGCTCAAAAATGGAATAACATAACACACATAATTGGGTATAGAAATCTATCTTACCCTACAGGAAAACAGGGGGAATGGGATAAGATGGGGGGGATGACAGAATGGAGGGCAGATTGAGAGAGGGAGTTATCAGAAGCTAAAGATTTCTGAGGAGGGACAGGATGAAAGGAGAGAGAGGGAATAGAATAAGGCAGAGGAGGGGAACAGGATGGAGGGAAATACAGTTCTTGTGGTTTTTCCCTTTGTTCTAATTCTTCCTTCACAACATAACTAATATGGAAATATGTCTAATAGGATTGCATAGGTACAGTCTATATCAAATTGCATGCCATCTTGGGGAGGGGAGGTGGTGAGGGAGCGAGAAAAAAATCTGAAACTCAAAATCTTATAAAAGTGAATGTTGAAAACTATCTTTGCACGTAATTCAAAAAAATAAAATACTATTAAGTAAGGAAAAAAAATAAAGAGGACCAAGAAAGAACAGTATCATACAAAAACCAAGGCATGAGAGTATAATGAAGAGAAAGGGATGGTCAATAATATGAAAAAACAGAGAGGCATAATAATAACTATCTACTTCACAGGGCTGTTGTCAGGATCAAATGGATTAACATACATGAAAGTACTCTGAAAGCTACAAAGTCCTACATAAATGCAGCAATATGATAATGATGAAGCTAGAAAAACTCTGCATTGACAGGAGACATGGCATTTCTCATTGTAGGCATCACTGCTGACCTGCTGTTGTCACTACAGACCAGAGGGAAAAGTCACAGCCAAAATGTTTGAGTGAATGAATACGGCTGGGTACAGAGCATTCCCAGATTTCTGGTGGTTAAACAAAGCTCTCCTCAGGATAGGATGAGTATTTTGCTTGGATGGGGTGGGGGTCTTATGGAATCCATTCTAACCCATACCTACAACTGGTTTAGGCCTAAGCTGGCTCTGAAATTCCAGGTGGTAGGTTGGCTCTGGGAACCCTCCAGAGACTTGGTTCTACTTCTGGGGGGTTCCTTAAGCAAATCTAGATTGAAACAGGCTGTCTAGAATCCTTGTGGAATAGACTAGAAGCCCTGGGGGCAAGGATCTGTTCACCTGGTTCCCATTTAGACCCAGAGATGGAATGGAGTGCTATCATCCTGACATCATTCTGTGCCCGAGGATATGGTCTTGGGGGCTGGTGCTAGGCTCCTGAGGATGTGAAGGCTACTGTTTTAACACTATGATTAGAAGTCTAGTGAAAAGGCAGTGGGACCCAACACGTGTTGCAGGGACACCAGACCACTCCTAAGAAACAGAGAAATCAGATCGACTCATTCAATGCAGCGACAGAAAAAGGGTAAAGCCATGTGTGGAGCCTAGGATAATCAACACAATTCTTTGTTAATGCCTGTTTAAAAATAGCTCTCTCATGTGTTTAATATGGTAAGGCCTTCCACTTAATAGCCATTATAACATGTTAGAAAAGAGTGTAATATATTATTAGAATAACATTTTCAAGTCTGATTATAACCTGTAAGCAGTGACCCACAATGAGGAAGAGTTTTCTCAAAGGTCAGAACCGAGGCCTCTTCCTCTTCAAGGGCTAGTTCGAATAAAGGCTCATACCTCCTTGTTTCCTCTAAAGCATCACTCTCCTTATTTTTCAGCAGCAAGTCACTTTCTTCCTCCCAGAGTGGTCTTTGCCTTTTTTCTTTCTCTTTAGAATCTTCCAATTCCATCTTATTCTAGGAAATAAAAAGAGGCTAAGGGCAACCTGAAATGGGGAGCCTTAAAGCACAGTTGCCAGGCAGCTCTTGCCATCCCCAACTCAGGAATTAAAAGTCAAAACATTATTCATTCATGTTTCCTATGACTGAAAGACCTTCAAAATTGCTGGATGTCTCTAAGTGTCAATGAACTGTAACTGCATTCTTTGCCAGTGGCATCAATGTTTAATTTAGGCCTCTCTCCAAAGCTCATATCAAGGTGATCTTGCCCAAAATAACAAAAAAAACCTGCCCCCTTCTGCCCCTCCCCCCCAAAAAGGCAGGGAGGGGGGAGGAGAAAGGGAGGCAGGTTCCATGATTGGTCACCTCAGCACCAAAACTATCTCATGTTTCAGAGGCATCAAGGGGCTGTAGTTTCAGATTATGCATCGTCCAGCTCTTTGGTGTTTCTATCCATCCTCAAGGGATGCATTTTGGGAACAGGCAGGAAAAAATGATAACTTTTTCTTTGGCCTTTTATGATACACTCAAATATTAGGTAGATTAAGGATTTCAAGAAAGGGGCTGGAATTGGTTTTCTTAGAACCCACTTGTAGTTGTCATACCCTCTGCTCCCATCAAAATCCCAAATACGCTGGTACCACGATAGTGTCACGGAGACTTCCTCATTACTGCAGGTCTTTGCTTGGTCTTATTAGGAGTTTCAGTTAGTCTGAGTGGGAGACAACCTTACTTCCTTCCACCTGGAAATTAATTCTACAGAGATAGGCAGCTTGATGAAGTGGGAAGATCACTGAATTTGATGCTGGAAGACTTGGGTTTGAATTCCAGATACTGCCTTTTGGGTCCTTGAAAAATGAGGAGAAAGCTGGATCTCTCTAAAGTCTCTTGTAGTTCACTACCAGCTGTGTACAAATGGGCCCAAACCTCTCTGAGCCTCAGTGAAGTTAGTATATTACTACTTGCACTGTCTAGATCATAGGGTTGGTGGAAGTACCTTTGTAAGTCTTCAAGCAATAAGCTTGACTATAGCATTGCTTCTGGCAATGGCTAGGACACCACAGTGGAAACTGCCCCCATGAAGGAGTTTCATTCATTCTATGGGATAAACGAAAGAGTCCTAGAATCCCCTAAATTTCCCATCAGTAATCTCACCACTGGCCCATTTCCTTCCGTGACAGAGGAGGAGGTAGAAATCTGGTCAGCTGAACTTGAAGAAGTTGTGAAGGGAACCACAGTATCTTCAATGATCTTGCGTTCCTAAGGAAAAGGAACAAGGTTAAGAAAAAACATAATTCAGAATATACATGTCAAGAGGGCACTTTTTACTAGCAAACTCTGAAAGTAAGTGGGAAAATTTATTTTATTCCTAAGGCTTTTCAAAAGGTTGCAAACAATATAAGGCAGGGTTTATTTTTTTCAAAGTGCAAATGATTTAGTACAAAGGACCCCTAATTCCTAGGACTAATTTAAAATACTCTTAGGTAGCCAGTTAAACATAAAATTTGCTATTGTAAGAGAAAATTCACAATGATATAAACGATATGAGAACTGAAGGTGCTGAGCATAAAACACGGCCTTTATGTCTAATATGAGGTGGCATTTTGCTGTTATTTTAAAATTATACTAAAAACACACTAGTCATACCCCATATTAACACTGTCCCAGGCAAATGATTTTAACAGAGTGCCACTATAGCCCCACCTTAACTTTATAAAGCTAATTTGTTATGTCTTAGGTCAATCATAAAAAAAGTCCTAGCAGTCACTCATTCCACAACCAAGCCAGTTCTCTTGTCAATGTCGGCTTTCAAATTTGCCTGAATTGGAAGCTAGATGGTTCCAATCTATTCAGATTCTTTTACTTAAGAGTCAGGGAGGTCTGAGTTCAATCTTGTTTCACACACTTATGAGCTGTGTGACCCTGAGCAAATCACTTAACCTTTCTCAGCATCAATTTCCTCATCTATAAAATGGAGATGATTTTAATACTAATACATAAAGTTGTTTTGAGGGCAAAATGACATAATGTATATAAAGTGCTCTGCAAACCATAATGCATTATGTAAATGCAGTTATATCATCATCATCATCATCATCACCACTACCACCACCACTACCACCACCATCATCATCCCCTCTTGCCCTTTATCTTCACCTTTCTCCTTTATCTCTCCACCCTTACTGGTTCAGCTCCACTTAGCACTGTCCTGTTGCCCACCTTACCTAGTACTCCCCATTTGGATTGCCCTCCTTAGCTTAGTTGCCCACGACACCCATTACCTCATCTTCTCACCATTCCCAGCCCAAGAATATGCAGTCTTCTATAACATTTCCATTCTGTCTTCAACCCCTTACCCTCTTTAGACTGAGCTCCTCGAAGGTAAAGGCTCTTTTTTGCATTCCTTTGCATTCCTAGCATTTAGCTCAGGACCTAACACACAGTAAGTGCTTAATAAATGCTTACTGACTTTGGCACTAACTGCCCTAATACTGTTTTGCTGAACCTGTGTCCCCTGACCCAAGGTCAATGTGGCATATGGTTAAAAACAGTCAAAGTTGGACCCCAGCTGTGTGATCTTTTGTAAAAGACAGGATTGAACTAGTGATCTCCAAGGACCCTCCTACCTTTGAATCTAGGATCCTATGATCTCATATTTAATGGGGTTTGGCAGTATGTGCCTGCATACAGCCACAAAGTGAAGATAGCGACACATAAACTCAAATAATTTTGACATAAAAATAATCCCAACTGGATTATTTTACTGCCATCCAAAATGCTTACCGTCATACTATAAAAATGATTTTTTCATTTCACCTGTACAAACCAAACCAATCCCTAATCAGATAGGTATGTTCTCACACAGGGGATAGGCTACCACCACACAGACTGAGAGCTAGAAAGCTTTAAACCTCTCATTGTGGCTCAAAACTGTCTTTATTTTTAGAGTGTATTCTAGGAATCAGCTTAACGAGATTTGTCATCGAGGGGAGAATTTACTACCAGATGGCTCTTCTATATGCTTTTCAAAAGGCTGACAGTAAGAAGTCTTTCCCAAGGATGGACAGATACCTACCTACCAAGTCAGAAGCCTGAGATTTTGCTGAGTTGTGACAGAAAGCTCATTTCACAATCTGCTCCCCAGTCATTTTTCCTACCTCCTCATAATATCTACGCTCTTCTTCTTCCACTTCCTTTTGTGCTCTCTCCCATTCTTCTTTCAGTTTGTCCTGTTCCTTCTGGTATCTTTCCTGTTATGGAATAGTTCAGTAAATTGGATGGAACTGAGCACCTCACACATCACTGGGAATCATTAAAAAGCAAACAAACGAACAAGCCCTCATTCTGTGTATAATAAATATGTCGCAAAAGTTACTTTTTGCTGTAATGTTATGAGTTGGCTGGATAACATGCAATGAAGCAGGATGAGATTTCTGTGGTCATTTAAACTATTCAAGTAGATAAGAAAAACACTATAGATATTCAGCTACATATGCTAGGACTTTTCTGTAGACATACTCTTCTATGCAATGCTAGTTTGCACCCTAACTTATGGATGCGGAAAAATCGAAGAAAAATGAAAACAAGCTAAAACCTGCCTTAAGACATTGTGCATTAAAAAGGAAATTAAATCTATAGTTTACTATAACTGGGATTGCTCAAAAAGGCAACTCAGCACAGCATAAAGAATGTTAGACTTGGAGCGAGGAGGACTTATGCTCAAATCTTGGCTCTAACCCTTGCTAGCTGTGTCATCCCGAGGGGATGTCCCTTCATGTTTCTGAGCCTCAGTTTTCTCATATGTAAAATGGCAGTAAAATACCTAGCTCAAACAACTGTTTGAAGAATGTGCTTCATAAACCTTCAGTAGCGGTTTCACAGCAATGTGTGAGCTCTATATTCAAATATAAGCTTGGGCACTGATCTAAAAAAAAAAGAAGCTGCTGCTAGGGTAGCTTAATATTTAAAAAAGTCTCTTATGGTTTTAAGTAAGTGGATAAGATGGTAATTAGCTAAGTATCTGGATTGCTTTTTGCTTCAAGTTCTTACAGTCTTCCACCAAAATGGAATCTTTTGATCTGAATAACTTCTGAATTGAGGGAAGCTTTTTAATGACCCATTAAAATGTTATCAGGATTAGAACTGCCCTTATTGTCTTCAGAAATACTTCGATCAGTCACCACATCTAGGGGAACATAAATGTTCTGTATAAGGAAGCCTTCAAAATTAATTGAAATATTTAGCCAGGAGTCTTGACCAGGAAGAAATTAATAAACTGATGCCAAAAAAAAAAATCGTAGCTGAAGTTTAAAACTGGTGCCCCAACTAATTTTCAGTGGTTAGGCAGAATGGGGGGGGGAGGGAAACAAACGTTTATTAAGTGCCCACTGTAGTAGTGCCCGCTTTGCTAGGCATTTTACAAATATTATCTCATCTGGTCCCCAAAATAATCCTTAGAAGTAAGTGCTATTATCATCTCATTTTACAGCTGAGGAAACTGAGGTAGACAAATGTTAAGGGACTTGCCCAGAGTAAGTTTTCTGCATAGCTAGTTAAGTGTCTGAGGTAGGATTTGAACCTAGGACTTCCTGATTTCAAGCCCAGCACTCTATCCAGTATACCACCTAGCTGAAGAAATGCTGAAATGTAGAACCTCCAGCCAAAAATTGTGACTGCCATCAAATTACACTTAAATGGGGGCAGCTAGCTGGTGCCATGGATAGAGCTTTGGCCCTGGAGTCAGGAGGACCTGAGTTCAAATCCAGCCTCAGACACTTGACACTCACTAGCTGTGTGACCCTGGGCAAGTCACTTAACCCCACTGCCTAGCCAAAAAATTTTTTTTTAAAATTACACTTAAAAACATGCCATTCCTTTTTATCGTTCCTGAGCATCCTTGGGAATACTGAGCAGCCACCATTTTTGCCTCCTACTACAAGCTAGCACACCACCATCCCAGCAGGAAAAGTACATTACTAGATTCTTCTGACGACTTGTCTTACTCCTATACCTCTTAATGCTCTGGAAGAAGCAGTGTTGGACAATATGAGGCAATCCAGAACCCCACTGGCTGACTAAATTCCAGTCCTGAAATTCTGACTTTTCAGTGAAGTCCTAGAAGAATTTCAGCAAAGATTCTGCTTATAAGACTCTGACTCTAGAACTTCAAACATGAGGGCAGGTATAAGAAGCTGAGGGCTTGGGAGCTTTTATCCATCCTTTAAGGATATGACTCAACATAAACCAGTCACTTTGTTAGCCAAGGAGACCAACGATCAGCAAGATCTGAATGGCTTTATTGTGTGTGGTGGTGAGATACGTGCATTTCTCTTACTCTGAGAGGTACCCCTGTCCCAACACCCAGGAGGAAACTAGAGAGGGAAGGATGTAAAGGCAGCTGTTAGCTGAGGGACAAAGCGTGACCAGGTTCTGCAACAAGAGCCATCTTTCTTAGTGTAACAGAAAGAACACTATGATAGAGCCACATGAGAAGTCGTTTTCCATACACTATGGCATTTCTGGTGTAGATGTTTACCATTTAACTGGGCGGAAGGCCAATAAATGAAATGTGGGGATTCCAGAAGATAGGCACATATACTTTCCATCTCGTCAATTTTATGAGCAGAAAAGCATGTGACTAGAACCAAGTGAACCAGATTTTAAAGAAAAACCGGGCATCTTTCCTACAAATACATTTACTTTTTTAAGTCATAAAAAATGTTTTATTTCCCCCCTGCTTGCCCCAACTTAAAATACACCAAACTCATTAAGCTTTTCAAATCCTTTAAAGCAGAACTAAAGCTTTGTTTGATTCAGTTGACTATTTGCCAATAGTTTTGGAATTAATTTTCTAAAAGTAAGAATATTTTGAAGATGTAAATTAAAACTGCCTTTAGTATTATTTTCTGAATAACATAATGTAATCAATGCTTTTGAAATTCAATGTCCATTTCCTATGGTGGAGGTAGGGGAAGAGACTAACTCAAGGATTGAAAGGTATGAAATTTCCAAGGCTTCCTTATTAAATATCATCTAACTGTTTTTTTTTTAATTAGAAGAGACGTGGATCACAGCCAGATAGTGGAGTTTTTGTAAATAGGACATTTCTTTACCAGAACCTGGACAGAGACCATAGCCTCACTTCACCAAAGCTATCACACAGCTATTTGGGAACTGATTTCTACAGCTGTCTTGGTTGGAATTTGATTAGTGACCAAAGGGGAAGAGATTCTGTCAACTATTAGTAGGATGACTTGTTTTGACCATAAAATGTTAATATGTAGATTTCCCCACTTCATGCTAATAGCTGTTTTCTCTAAATATGAAATGACGTATGATGACATCTGAATGGTCACAGTTAAAATGTCAAACTAGTCAACTGATAAGACTATAATTTTATACTTAGAGATTTTGCTCTAAGAGGCGTCATGGTATATAACCTATAGAGAACTGGATTTGGGAGTCAGAAACAACTTGGTTTGAATTCCACTTTAGACACTTACTAGCCTTGTGACTTCGAGGAAGTCACTGAACCTCTCTGGGACTCAGTTTCCTCATCTGTAAAACAAAGGGGTTAAGCTCAGATGACCTCTAAAATCTATGCTCCTATGATTTGTCAGGCCCACATAAAAACTATTCATGGCAACAGAAAGAAAACGAAAAGTTGAATTAAAACAAACAAATAAAAACAGCTGATAAGCAAAACCCAGCCAAACCTGAAGCAAACGTTCCTGTTCAAGCTGCCATTTCTCCTGCCGGCGGCGCTCCTCCTCTGGATCCCATGCCCACAAGTTGAAACGCTTAGAAAAATAAAACCATGATCAGAATCCAGCAATATATCTCAAGAACAGACAGGGCCAAATGAACACAATTAAACTATAGTCTAATGCCCAAGTGAAAATGCTGAAGCTTCAGTTTTTAACTTTTCTAAAGGCCTTTCCTGGTTGGTTAAAAAGATTTTGTATTTTGCCCCACTTTGGTTTTCTTCCAAGATGCTGGCTGGATTCAATGAGCCCTTTATGATTTAATGAATGCACAGAGTAATTAGCTCCTGGCATGAGACAGCCTTTGCTTCATCCCCCATAGGAATGACGTTTAAAAATCTGTTAATATTTCTGGGCACAGGATGTACGTGCTTTCAGAACAAAGATCCTAGGTCAATTTACATATATCAGATCAATCTTATCGGGTGTTTACGTTTGCAGTAACACAAAGAGACACGTCACTTAGCAAAACATGGACTATAACTAAAATTTTGCTAAATTCAGCAGGGAAATGACATTCCTGTTAGCTAATCATGGAGTGAGTTGGGCTAACCTATATGGAATTTGTGTGGGAACTTTGGCACAGATCAATCATGTCAAGTTCTTGGGACTGCCCGGGGGGAGAAAAGGAGAGAGAGAGAGAATCACAGTGAACAAGAATGAGCCCATAGGGAAGTGCAGAATAAGGGAGAAGATGATGAATGCAGCAAAAGATTTGTCCTTTTGGAAGGGCAATAAAGTTCCTCAAATAGGAAGCAAAGAAAAAGAACCATAAAGACATCATCAGGATTGGTCTTGGACTTATTTGACATGTGTTTATGAAGCTGTCATAGGCAAAGCACTGTGCTAAGCACTCTGATTAATATAAAAATGAATATGATGTGGTTCCTGCCCTCTAGGGAGCTATAGTCTAATAAGAGAAATAAACACGTATACAGATCACTACGCTAAAAGCTAGCAGGTAACAGATGCCATGAGTGGTACAAAGACACTGCTGTAGGACTTTGGAGGAAACAAAGCTTATCTTTTAGAAAGTCCTTTAAAACTAGTAGTACATCCACAGACGCTAAGTTTATTATTTTGTAATTAAATGCTTATTATCTTTTTAAAAATTTTTTTTATTTTTATTTTTTATAGGCAATTGGGGCTAAGTGACGTGCCCAGGGTCACACAGCTAGTAAGTGTTAAATGTTTGGTATGAGGCCAGATTTGAACTCAGGTCCTCCTGACTTCAGGGCCGGTGCTCTATCCACTGCACCACCCAGCTACCCCTAAATGCTTATTATCTTATAGGCAGGTGAGAAAGCAGGTGGCCTCATTTTTTATCAAAAGGACATTAGACATACAAGCTCACGGATGCTTTACTGAAATACTTCTTTAGATTCTCTCTGAGTTACACTTCTTTCCCAAAGTCAGAGGGATACATCATTTCAGTCCCTTCTCTAGCAAGCTAGCAAGAGTAATCTATCTGGTAGATTCTGAATTTAGTAAACACCAGAACGGGACAATTTACCTGTACAGAAGAAGCCGAAACAAGCTCTGGGAACCTTCTAAGTGTTCTAGTCTATTAGAGGTACAGCTCCAAGATCGGATCAAGTCTTATGCTGGCAAAAACATAACTGAGCAAACCAGCTTCTCAGATGCCTATCAGATTATTGTGGTCAGTTTGGGATTGAATCACATGCATACATGTCTACACTAACCAGACTGTGGTGTCATGGTACCAAGGTGCTCAGAGTCATAGGGACAAGTATAATGGCGCTCACACATTGGGCCCATGGCTTCTTGGCCTCAGCTCAGTTTTAACAGCATTATTCTTATAAATCTCTAAAGTGGGAGAAGGACATGGGCCATAGCCATAGCTGAAAAGGCTCATGGAGGAAAGAGAACTTATTGAGGTGGTGGGTAGAAAGGTAAAATTTGGGGAAGTACTGTAAGATCCAGGGGTGGGGAACCTGTGGCCAGACTTGACTGAATCCAAACTTCACAGGACAAATTGCCATAATAAAAGAATTTGTTTTGTAAAACTTGGACCCAGTCAAAAGGCTGCACCTGAGGACCTAGAAGGCCACATGTGCCCGAGGCCACAGGCTCCCCATCCTTAAAAATCTATGAAGAGATGAGAAGGGAAGGGAAGGGAAGGGAAGGGAAGGGAAGGGAAGGGAAGGGAAGGGAAGGGAAGGGAGGAGAGGAGAGGAGAGGAGAGGAGAGGAGAGGAGAGGAGAGGAGAGAGAGAGAGAGATCCTGGGCCCTCTTTTCATATTTATTTTTAATAGCTCACTTTATATTTTATCAATACTAACTGAAGTACACCAATTATTTTTTCAAGGTATAACGACAATATTGTATAATGATGGAAAGCCTGACATATTACGTGTCCTGGAAATATGAGTAATTTCAGTATCCTGAAAATTTTGAAATATTTTCATTCATTCATTGCTTCAATTTCCTCTTTCTTGACTGGCAATATGCAAATGAGGTTCCTTTAAATAAATCAAGTATCCTATTAAACGACTATAAATATCACATTAAAAAAATAAAATCAGTTACTTACAGGTGTATTTGCAGGTGACTTCTCACTGCTATTAGACTCCACTGCACAAAAACAAAAAAACATATGTTTCCAATTTCCTTTTGGTGACTGTACTTGTGACTCCTATACTGTTTTAAAACCACTTACTGCTTTTTCATAAGCCAAGAGCATTAGAAAATCATGATAAAGTAGACCACAGAAATAGGGTGGACCCAACACCAAGAGAAGATAAGGTAAGACTGATATGTAATATATGTATACATTACTGCATAAATTAGCACCAGTTTCTAAACTATAGGCAGCAACTACTCCTTACTTTGAAAAGACAGGAAATTTCTGTGATGCACATTGTACTCTGGCTTATGTCTTCTCTCCTCCCTGTCCTACAGGGGGAAATACTAAGCAGAGAAAGGGCAAAAGAAAAGACCTTGTGCCACAGTTACCAACAGAACCATTACCATTAGATATTAAATGCTTCTGATCTCCCTGTTTAAAAAAAAAACCAAAGAGGAAAAACAAAACCAAAAAAATATACGTAAGTAAATGATGTGGTGTTTGTTTAGGGTCTCAAAAACCAAAACAAAACTGTTCTGGCAAAATGATGAATGTTTTGTTTTGTATTTTTTTTTAAGTTCTAGAAATGTCACGTACAGATTCTATGCTGAAGAAACAGCTCTTTGCCAACTGTGTGCCAGAAATAAGCACTTTTCTATGAAAGCAGAAGGGGAAACAAATAGCAGGCATCATTGATTCACCCCCCAGCAGGTATTCATGCCTACTCAGTGCGACAGAAGAAATGCGCAACTATCCGACACATCATTTACCTGACTGGGAGAAAAACCGTGAACGTCGCCAAGAGTTCCGAACCCTAAGCGGAACAGTGGCTGTGCCAGGCGACTCTAGATCAGATGTTAGAACAGAACAGATTACACAACTTGAAAAAAAAACAAAACTGAACCTCAAGAAAGGCGGAGGGAAAAGGTGTGTATGTGTGGGGTCCTGGTCACAGCTGAGGCATGGGCGGAGGCCAAGAGAATTTGAAAAAAGAATGTATTTCAACAAAACATGCAGACAATTTGAATGCTAATCCCCCCTCCCCCTTTTTTAAATGGTACAGATCAGTGAGTGTAGTGGGTACTCTCCACACCAAAGCAGACTGGCAATTGTTCAACTTGGCCTGTACCAAGGGGTTAAATGACTTGTCCACAGTTGCCCAGAAAACGTGTCAGAAGTGAGATTTGAACCGAGGAGGCCATGATAATTGTCTTCAAGGGCATGAAAGGCTGTCATGTGGAGGAAGAATTACTTTTGCTCTTTTTGGACCAGGAAATTACCAAGATTAGAACTGTCCAAGGAAGTTTCCTCCTCCTTAGAGACCTCCCAGCAGAGGCTGCATGACCACATATTGGGTGAGTTTTATGGAGGATTCCTTTTGACTGCAGATTGAATTGGATGGCCTTAGAGGTTGGTTGCAAAGTCAAATTCTGTTATTCTGTCTTCTGACTCTAAGCCCAGCACTCTAACCACTAGGTCAAATGCTGCCTCTTAAGTAATATTTACCAATATAGTAAGGATTTTTTAATCTAGACCTGTGATTTTATTGGGGAAGGGAACTCCCAGGAATGAAACTTCACAATTTAACACCATCTATGTAGTATTGAATTTATTATTTTGTTAAACATTTCTCAATTACATTTTAATCCTAAGAGTTTTGTAAACCCACCATTTTGACACCTCTGCAGTGGATAGAAGAAGCTGGGCCTAGAATCAGGAAGTCCTGAATTCAAATTAGGCTTCAGACACTTTACTAGCTGTATGATCCCAGGCAAGTCACTTAATTTCTGTTTGTCTCAGCTTCCTTAACTGTAAAATGGGCATAATAATAGCATCCACTTCCAAGGGTTGTTGTGAGGATTGAAGGAGATAATATTTATAGAAGTGTTTAGTATGGTGCCTGGTCCAAAGTAGGCATTATAGAAATGCTTGTTCCCTCAAATAATATTCATAATTTTCATAACAAATAAATAGTTACTAAGGTATGAGTACATTTTATTGAAATACCCTCCATTGAGATACCATTTTTCTCTTCTGAAACAGTTGGCGAAAGAAACTTAAATTGCTAAACTTTCAATGCTTTTTTCTAATGATTTCAGTATTTAAAGACCACGTCTTTTCCCTCCACCCCACAATCCAACATTTTTTGGGGTATGTTTTAGAAAAAGACTAGAATTGTAGACAGGTTAGTGTACGTTAAAATCAGAATCAATTTTAGATTTGAAGGAAAACTTAAGAGATCTGTATTGGGGGAGATGAAATCACAGTTTCACTGAAGTATTAGTAAAAGATACCAGAATGACAGCTTCATTAATTTAGAAATATGGCCTTATGAAGAATCAGGAGACACTGCAATCTGATTTCTCATTTCTCACCTGGCTGTATGACTTTGGGACTTCTCTTGAGTTTTCCATGGTGCCCCAGGAAGCTCATTATTAGGAGAACCTCATCGTCCTATTAGATTCCAATGGCCTTGCTATTCTACCTTGTTTACCACTCTCATTCACCACAATCCCTCTGATTGGAAGGTGGAGCCATGACTCCCAAATCTCCATTTAAGGAGGGAGCTCAGCCCCCTTCCCCAACGCTTCCCCTCCCCAGTTCTTTCTTTTCATTGTTGTCTTCCCTCAGTAGATTGTAAGCTACTTATATATTGGGCTGGTTCTTTCTTTCTTTTATTTTTTCCTATTTGTATCGTCAGTGCTTAGCACAATTCCTGACATATAGCAGGCAGTAATTAATTGTTTGCTGACTGATCTACAGTGGACAGAACAATAGATTGAGAGCCAGGAGACCTAGTTTTAATCTTGCAACTACTTTTGACGTGAAAAGTCATCTAAACATATTTGTTTTTATAATTTATAAGAAAAGATACTACTTAACATCAATTGCCAGAAATCTGGAGACTCTCACTTTATAAAAAGGTGGGGAGGGACACAACACATAAGGTTATATATATCCAAGGCTCAGTGTTTCTCACAAAAATACAATGGATAAACTAAAAGCATCACTATAATTTATTTTTCTATCAGCAGTGCCCTCAATGTACGCTTTTAATTGTCTAACACTTACAGTCACTCCACAAGTATGTATGAAGAGAGAATTAAATAATAATATATCTCTCTAATAGATACGTTCAATCACAGGGGCATAAAGGAAATACAGAAGCATAAATGTTTGTCTTGAAGGAAATGTGTTTAAACTCCTAGGATTTAGAGGTGGAGAGGACCATTAAAACTCATCTATATACCAATGCTCCTTAATTGGTTTTTTAGAAATGCTACAATTTAGGCAATTTATACTGAGTGAGGTAAACAAATTCCTTTGGTTTAGCAGCACATTCTCTAGCATAAAATTCCTTTTAAACGTGCAACTGAAGATTTGTTTACACAAGGTAAGCACGTTCTGCATGTAATTTCCATTTATGCCCACTGGTACCAAATCCAATCCAACAGGAATTTATTGCATGTCTACTATGTTTAAGGGCTTGGGGTAGGTGCTGGGGATACAGGGACTAAACAGATTGAAAGCACACTCAACGGGATTCACTGACAGGCAACTATCAGTCTTTAATCCCTTAAATGCACTGGTCTGAAACGGATACTTTAATGACAGAATGGAAGCAGTTTTCACATTAAGGAGTTGGTACCCACAAACATGTTCCCTGGTTATTTCCCTCCTAAAACAGATGCTTGCTGTTGTGAAGACCAGGCCTATGTCATTTCCCAGAAGGCAACATAAACTATGACAGTCGATTCTAATGCCATTTCAAAATAATGGTTCCTCATTGCTAAGAGCGAGCCAGAAACAGGCACTTTTTCAATGAAAAGAGAAGTGGAAACAAATAACCAGGCATCTCTGGCCTGCATCTGGGTCCAGCTCCAGATCATACCTACCAAATGCTAATAAGCTATGTTTTAACTTTCCTCCCTTCTATCTGCTTCTCCTTCAGCAGTGGAGCCAATTAAGGCCAACGAAGCTCACATACTGTATATGACTTACTAAGGCCTTGAGAAAGGGGGTCTCCTTCTGAAAGCTACTGGGGTCTTGGCTGAGGGAGGGGAAGGCAGTGTCAGGGTTGCAGCAGCTCTACTGGATATGCAAGCGGGTCCCCTCCAGCAGTGGTGTCAAACTCCAACAGAAATGGGGGCCACTATACCATACAGAACCCCGCAGGCCACATATGGACTTAGAAAATTTCTTATTAATATCTATATTATATTGCATGTCATTTATTCTGTTAAATCCCAACTGTTTCCCAATTATATCTTGATCTGGTTTGGGCCACAGTTGGGGGTGCTGTGGGCTGCATGTGGACCATGGACCTTGTGTTTGACTCCTCTGCCATAGCTGTGGATCCTAAGTAAGAAGGAAGGGATAGGGGGCAGTGGATAGAGCACCGGCCCTGAAGTCAGGAGGACCTGAGTTCAACTCCGGCCTCAGACCAAACACTTGACACTTACTAGCTGTGTGACCCTGGGGAAGTCACTTAACCCCAACTGCCTAAAAGCAAAAAAAAAAAAAAGGCAGGGATACAATGAGGTCACAGCCCCTATCCTAAAGTGGAATTTAGCAGTCCTTTCTCCCTGTGAAGGCAGCTTCAGTCACAGACTTGATTATTTGCAGGCTACAGGTCCCCATTCTCCAGTTATATAACCCACAGAGACCCTGAGAAATGATCAGGGCTGATGGTTCCGCCATCTATAGAACATGCCTTATCTTTTCTTGCAGAAATGAAGCTTTCATCACAGTGCTGAAGAAGAGTAGATGAAATTCATATGAAACGTTTTCTTTTTCTTTACCTTGTGAATCAAGATTTGGCAAAGTTGATTGGCTGGTTTCTGGTACTTGGTTCAGGTACGGAAACAACAGAACTGCTTTTGGTTCTGGAGACTTTGGCTTCGTTGCCTGTGTAAATAAGCAGCACACATGACTATTGTTGTGAGTACTAAACACTCAGGCAGAAAGGAAATCTAAGGACACAGCAGACAAAATTCCTCTATTACAGAAACATTCTACCTTTCTGCATTTAAATGACCGTCATTGGAGATTTGAAAATTAGGCAACTCCCCCATCACCCCAACTGGCATTAAGCACTTTTTCTCCAAACCCCATGTAGTAGAAAGGCCATGATTATCACATACTTCCTGTAACCCTAAGGAGGCAAAATTCTAACTCGGTTACATAGATGAGTGGGTACTACGCATTGTTTTCTCAAGTTCTCACAATTGACATGAGCATATTCTTCTCCTCTTACAAGTGACCATGTGTATTCATTCAGTGTGTGTGTGTGTGTGTGTGTGGCAATTGGGGTTAAGTTACCTGCCAGGAGTCACACAGCTAGTGAGTGTTACGTGTCTGAACTCCCCGTCCTCCTGACTCCAGGGCTGGTGCTCTACCCACTGCACCATCTAGCTGTCCCCATTCAGTGTTTTAAAGATATGACTACATAAGCAAGTTTTCCCAAAGCCAGAGTTATATATATTAAAAAATATTTTTAAAAACTTTTTTGATGGACAAGTTTTCTTAAATATTTATACATGCCTATTCCTAGTCTCTTTTTATGCTTATAGTTTTAATTATGAACTATACATGGCTTAGGGAAATTAAGTGACTTGCTCTCAGGGTCGTGAATAAAATTGTTAAGCTTTGAACTCAGGTCTTCCTGACTCCAATGCTGACTTTGCTCCCTAAGCTGCCTCTATAATAAGTGTTTGCGCAGAAAATAACCTAACAAACACTGAACTTTATGGACATCCCTCTAAATTAAGTTCTTCAGTTTCATTCATGCACATGCATACACACAAACCTGCCTTCTCAAAAGAGAACACTGACCACTAATTTAATTTTTGCTTGCTGAACAAGTCATTGTGATGGATTCTTGTACTGAGCTACACTGGTCAATGGAGCATCTTGGGCTATCTGTCCTGAGTGCTAGCAGATAGCCCCAGACTCTGAGTTCCTATACCTTCTTCTTTCCACAACCTCCATTGTATTTCTTGTCTCATGACCAGTCGGTCAGCTATCAGCTTTCACTATGACTGGTGAACCCTGCTACTGCAGTACCCCTTTCTCTTTTAATTTGTGGCTCTTAAATGAATGAGCTTCAGTGCATGGAATCTGTGCTATCTTTTCTGGATATTTGGATTGCATCTTGGAGGCTAGGTAGCTAATTTTATTGTTCAGGGGGATTTCTGTATGTAAGGTGTTTCTGGATTTACATCACAAGTAATTTGTCTATAATTATGAAAGTTTAATGTTAAGGGCACTTCCTGGTAAAATTCTATTTTCTCTTATGGATTATAAATTCGACCCAAATGAGGGACTGAATAAACTGTACCATATAGGTCAGGGTAGTATCTAAAAGTTAACTTTAATTTAAAAATGTTACAATGCCTATAATCACACAGGAGTTGGTACCCCACAAATTTTAACTTTAAGCCATTTTCTTACAAGCAGTGGCTGACAAAAGACAAGTGAGGGTGAACATGATGGAGCTGCTGCCCAATCCACAGCAGTGAACCAATGGGCTGTGTAAAACTCAGATGAAACCTTTTGCTTTTTATCAAATGCTCTCATACATCTGTTGGCAGGGTTTTGATTTTGTTTTACAAAGAAAAGGTCTTCAAAGAAAGTGAGAAAGTGATGGTGACTGCAAATACAAATCTCTTTTCTCCTTCCAATGATGGAGTACTAACTGTATGTAATTCAGGCAAAGAACAGTTACTGATGGGGCTGAAGAGAGGCTGACTCTTCTGTTTTTCCCTAGTTGGTTCAAAGCACTTTTCAGCCACCGAGAGAGGCTGAACATCAGGACAGTTTCCTCTGTGGGTCTTTGCAACAAAGAAACGTGATTTCTTCCTACCTGCAAACAGGTATCACTCCATTTGTGGACAAGGAGTAAGGGGAAGCACACAAAGTAATCATCAACAGATATTTGCTCAACTTTTGCTGTATGCAAGTCACTACTCTGTGCACTGGAGGTGCCCTAGGAATACAGGCCATGCCCCTCTAACTCTCCCCTCCTAACTTTATTTTTGTCAATGACAGTCCCGTTCTTTCGTTCATTCACAACTGAAACCAAGGTAGCCTAGCAGTGTGGAAGGAGCATAGGCTCTGGGGTAAGAGAACCTGGGTTCAAATCCTGACACTAAGTACTTATGTGATTTTGGTAAGTGATATAATGCCCCAAGGCTCCAGTTTCCTCATCTGTAAAATGAGAAGACTGAACTCGTTTACTTAATAGAAAGAACTGGAGTCACAATTTGCAAATTTCTAGTTTACTTCCAGACCCACTCTTGATCAGATGTTGTTTTAAAAAGACAATCACCATGATAACATATAATACACACAATTAGCAAAGGCCTGTAAACTCTGTGTTTAGAAGTCAACCTGAGTAAGCAATTAACTTAAGAAAAATGGAGTGTGTGACCGACCCACCGGCCTAGAATGGCCATTTTTGAGCATTTTGATACAGAAAGCTGAAAGATGGGTCACTGCCAAGTGTGAGGAGGACTGGAGAACTTTATACAACCTGCTGCATTCAAAAAACAAAACACCTGCAAAGTAAAATTATGTGAACTTGTGCACTGCCATTTGTCTGCTCCCTCAATTCCCTCACCTTCTGTGACAGCACCAGCTCCACCTTTCCACTCATTTCACTATCCAGTTTTCTCTGGCCTTTGTCTTCTGCTCCGTGGTCTGTAGCCTGGTGGCTGGGATTGAGCTCCACAAAAGCCACAGTTGGGCTGGCTCGAGTCACAGTCGTTGTAAAGTGCTGACACTCTGAAATGAACACATAAACAGAAGAATGGACACAATTTAAAAAAAAAAGTACACAAGATTTTTAAAAATTAATAAAACATCAAATGAATCATTCACAATATAATAATCCAAAGTATGTTTATCCTTCATTATGGCTTAAGTACTAAACAAGAAGTCAGATCAGACATGGTGAAAGGAATGAGATACAGAATAACTAATTTGGGGTTACCTAATCTAAAACACAACACTTCCAATAAAATCTCTAATTTATGTGTCAATGCCAGTACTTGAAAATATAAGTGGAAAAAAACCAAAAATTATAATTATAATTTACATAAAAGTCAAATGAGATGATATACTAGAGTGATTCTAATAATTTACATTTATCTAGGACTCTGGGAAGAAGCCAGGAAAAGTACTATTTCCATTTTTCTCATAAAGAAACTGAGAGAGATGAAATGGTATGCCTATATCCCTCTGGGATAGTAAATATCTTCTGACTCCCAAGTTAAGGGTTCTGCACCATACCTGTCTAGGCAATTGCTGCAGTATGCCTCTGCTTGTTATAGAATGATCTGTCTACAGAAAAAGAAGGCCTCAATCCGAATATCCTTGGGCAGCTTTTAAGAGGAATGCACCATCCACATTATCCATCTGAATCTCCTTGTATAATCAATGGATATGGTGTATATTTAACACCCATTTTACAGGACTTGCAACATAATTTTACTACTTAAATGGTCATAGAGATTTACGGTTTTTCTCTTTGTAAAATATTTCTGGCCAAAGATCTGTTTGGTGTGGAGTCCTTGGTCAGGAATTAAGCCTCTAAATACAACATTGCTCCCATGGGGAAAATGAATTAGGTCATGACTGGTAGTTCAGGATACAGATTTGAGGCATATCTACGGTGGTAAATTGGGAAACTATTTCAAGATAAAGAAATTTTCTAATAAGACCTCTAGATGTCAGTATAATCCTATCATTGGGAAAGGACATTAAGGGCTCATTCTATCCATGTTTGCAGATCCACTGGAGAGGAAATATGAGATAACATGGTACAGCGGATAGAATGATGACTTGGGCATCACTAAGACAAAATTTCAAGTCTCGCTTCTGATATACACTGGCTGTGTGACCTCGGGCATGTCATTTTAACCCTTCGATGCTCCCAAGTAACTAAGACCACAAAGTTGCAGAGCATGGGCTGACCCACATAGGTAGAGAGATTTTCATCAACCAGAAGCTGCTTATACAAAATGGATAGTCTGGACTCTTCCCCCAGGGAAGGAGGAAGGGAAGGAATGAAAAAAGGAAACGGGGAAGGAAAGAAAAAAGTAAGGAAGGGAGAGAGGGGACTCTTAATGCTTTGAAAGGTCAGTGAATGTGATTAGAGAGAGGGGCCCTTGAAATATCAAGCTTAGCTTCTGATAGAACTGGACTCAGTGGTCATGAAATGTAAAATGGCTAATTAGTTACTTTCTCCAAAACATACATGTTTTAATGGAGCCTGAATATTAGCATCCCAACTGATTATACTAGTGGTGATAAGTTACTGGATTCTCTTTTAATCATTCTACAACACATGATGTGATTCTCCCCTGCTTTCATTCCCTTTTATGAGTGGGAATAAACCTATTCCATATCTGACCCTTACTGGTTCACTGCAAACCTGGTTTGTTTGTTTTTTTCCCCCTCACAACTCTTCCACCCTCTCTCTTGATTCTGGTTTGCAGCAAAAGGTAACATTACTGTAATTACCCATGTTCCTTGGGAAGCCCTCATATGTGTGAATAGTTAATGAACGTAAGAATTTCAGGAGCCTACTCCTCTCCTAAGAAGTCAGGCATCCCTCAGAGTTGAACCCCAGGCAAACCATAATGGGAGGTAAAGGATAGGGATGGTACCCTTCCCCATGAGCTGCTGTGATTAACTCGGATGGCTCTCAGATAGCTTCCTAATGTTGGACCTCTGCCTAAGCTCTGTAGGTCCCTTGAGAGCCTGTGGTCTGCCTGACAAGCCTTTCATAGAAAAAAACTATGATTTCAAAGCCCCTTGTGAATGACCCCAAAACTACATTTCCATGGAACAAACCTGGTGAGTCACGCTCTGTGTTCCTACTTTCTTCTTGTCCAAAATCAGTTTCATCCTTTTGAGGTGGCAGTTCAGCTTCCTCAATGGTGGAAGCCTGTAAGGAGGAGCATTTTCATTAAAAGACAGAGCTGAAGCATTAATATTTGCCCCCCCCCTTTTAAAAAGTAGACTCTCTCTGCCTTAAGTCTAACATTCATTAAATGTATATCTCTCTGCCTGATCTAGGACCATTTCCAGTTGTGCTGATCTATATCTCGCCACTGGACCCAGATGGCGCTGGAAGAGAGAGTAAGGCTGGAGACTCTGCACAGCTCTGGCGCACTTCAATACAATTCACTTGTAAGTCATGGCATCACCTTCCTGATGTCACGGTCCTCTTCCAGAACAAAGGACAAGACAACATTATCAACTACTGGACTACTAGAGCAGTTTCCTAACTGGTCTCCCTGACTTTATTCTCTCTCCAGGCCTGCATGCTGTTACCATGTGAATATTTATAAAACATTATAATTTCTTTTAATCATGTTACCACACCATCTCATCAAGTAATGTGCAAATTCCTTAGCCAGGCGTTCATTCAAGGCCCTTCCTCTGGCTACCTCCTACCTTTCCAACTGTACCTCTCATTACTCCTCTACATAAACCCCTAAACTCCCTCCCTCCAATACCCACTGGGCTTCTATGCTTCCGTGCCTGTGCTCACATCATTCTCTTTGCCTAGAAGTCCTCTCTAATCTTTGCCTACCAAAATCCTACCCATTTCTCAAGGCCCAGCTCCAGGATCATCTCTTCTATGACGCCTTCTCTGATCATAATGCCTTCCCATGTGATTCTTTCTTTCCTCTATACTTTAACTTGTGGCCCTTAGATGGTATCTATCACTGCACTGTATTGTTATTTGAGTAGGCGTCTGATAAACAAGACTGTGAGCTATTTGAGGGCAGGGAATACATCTCGTACATCATTTTATCCTCCAATGAACTAGGCACAGTACTTTGTGTATAGCTGATTCTCAATACATACCTATTGAATAAATTAAATATATGATGACCTATCCTAGGATAACTAAGATTAACATGTGTTATTGTTACCATATTTTTCAATAGGGAAGAATTCCTACTATTACATGGCTAGTGGTGGTTATTCTTTTTACATATTCTGAAAACAAACTAATTCTGAGGGCTTTTTTAAAAAGAGGTGTTGCAGTGGATAGAGCACTGGCCCTGGAGTCAGGAGGATCTGAGTTCAACTCAGACACTTGACACTTCCTAGCTGTGTGACCTTGGCCAAGTCACTTCACCCCACTGCCTAGGCCAAAAAAAAAAATTTAAATTTACACACCTTTGACAATTATGCATTTTTCATCCAAAATCTCCGTCCAAATGGTTAAAAAAAATTACAATTGGTCTTTAAAGTTACATTTCTAATGGAAAATTTTAAACTTAAAAACTATTTTTTAAATCAAAGCCCTCAACTCTTGGGTACGAACTATCTAAATCTAAATTTAAAAGAAGCCTACATAACAAATGGCAATCCTATGTCTATACTGAAAGACCATAATGATTAATGATAATACATACTTTTGAAAACAGTAGATAAAACCGTACATGGCACTTTATCTCCTATGAATTGTTAGTGTTTCCTCATTTGTTTTTAAACAAATGGTTTGCGGGAATGTGACTTTTGGAGGTTTAATGAAGAGAATGGGTCAAAGTTTCTGGTATTATAATGAATATTTCTAACACAGACTTTCTTTTTAGTTATTATAATAAGAATAATTTGACATGGTTACTAGAACATCAAAATAAACTGAGGAATAAGTTGAATTCTGAGAATTCAGAAGGCCTGATGCATGTTATAATGGTAACAATGACAGTTGCATTGTCCTGTAACATTAATGTGGATAATATTGGCAGCACGCTACTTTTTAGCAATTTCTACACAAATGGACTAAATTATAAAAGGTATTTGATGCTGGAAGTGTCAATATGCCGTGCCAGATGGCTGAATTACATTCCTGAGAATGTTTCTGGTCACCACGATTAAGCACAAAAGATGCTCAAAATGAACCAGCAAACCTCACCAACATGTCAAAAGAGTTCATTTCTAAACCTTTTAAAGATGCACTACACCCACAAACCTACCATAAACATAATTGCAAAGGAAAAAAATTATTCAAGTATTCTTATCTGATGTGCAATTTTTTAATTTTTTTATAAATATATCACATCAAATTCTTATATTAACTATATACCCCTTTTAAAACACCTTAACATTTTATACTGTGGCAGTATATGCTATTGTACTCCTAAACTAGTTCCAAGCATCCAAAAGGATGAATCATTTGAGAAGAAACCTGAAATCTAGAGTCCCAACTTTTTGGGACTTCCTTCATTTGTGTCCTACTAGTAGATCTCCAGACTTCCTTTCTCTACCATTTCCCAGCAGCCATCTCACCCTGGAAGCTGCTTTCTCCACCATCCTTCTCACCTGGAAGCTGCTTCTCCACCATCCTTCTCACCTGGAAGCTCCTTTCTCCACCATCCTTCTCACCCTGGAAGCTGCCTTCACCACCATGGAAGTTGCTTTCTCCACCATCCTTCTCACCTGGAAGCTACCTTCTCCACCATCCATCTCGCCCTGGAAGCTGCCTTCTCCACCATCCATCTTGCCCTGGAAGCTGCTTCTCCACCACCCTTCTCACCTTGGAAGCTGCCTTCTCCACCATCATTCTTGCCCTGGAAGCTCCTTTCTCCACCATCCTTCTCACCCTGGAAGTTGCCTTCACCACTATGGAAGTTGCCTTCTCCACCATCTTTCTCACCCTGGAAGATGCCTTCTCCACCATCATTCTTGCCCTGGAAGCTACCTTCTCCACCATCCTTCTCACCTTGGAAGTTGCCTTCTCCACCATCCTTCTCACCTGGAAGCAACCTCCACCCATGTGGGACCCTCCTCTGGTTATTTCCTCCTGGAAGCCATTTTCAGGAAGGGCCACCAGGCTACCTGGGCTCCACTCCTGACTTCCTTTCTCCACCATGCCCTAATACCTCTCATCCCTGCCTTCTGCCCCCTGCTTTTCAGCTTCCTTTGATCTATTGTCATCCCCTCTTAAAGTGTAAGCTCCTTAAGGGCAGGGACTTTCTTCTTGTTTCTAGTAGTTGTTATTCAGTCATTTTAATTGTGTCTGATCCTTTATGATCCCATTTTGGATCTTCATGGCAAAGATCCTGGAGTGGTTTGCCATTTCCTTCCTAGCTCATTTTACAGATAAGGAAACTGAGGCAAACAGGATTAAATGACTTGCCCAGGGTCACACAGATAGTAAGTGTCTGAGGCCAGATTTGAATTAGCAAAGATGAGTCTTCCTGACTCCAGATCTAACCCCTGCAGCATCTTGCTGCACTAACACCTCCTATTATTAAACACTTAGAAAATGCTTGACTTCACTTCTCTCTGCTCTCCATTCCTTTTAGCTATTTCACCTGCATGTCCTTTTCACTCCTGGCACAAAATTGCCCACACTGTATATGGAAAAGGGTCAGCCTGAGGTCACAGTGGTTTTCCTAAATATGCAGGGTTTGGAGAGTTGCCATGGCCCAAGTAGTATACATCATTATTTATATAATTCATGATTTTCAGACTTTATTTAAGTCTATAGTCTAGCTTTTTGGCAGGTAGGTGGCCTAAAATAGTGGAGCGCCAGAACTGGAGTCAGGAAAATCTGAGTTCAAATCCAGCCTCAGACCCTCACTAGCTGTATGACCTTGGGCAAGTCACTTAACCCTGTTTGTCTCAGTTTCCTCATCTGTAAAATGGAGTGGAAAACCACTCCAGTATCTTTGCCAAGAAAGCTCCAAATGGGGTCACAGAAGAGTCAAACTGCTGAAAAACGACTAAACAACCACAACTAATGACCCGAAACTGCTTCTCTCTTCAGCACCATGTACCTCAACATTTTAACTGCACTAGTCAAGAGGACCCAGAAATGACAGGTCCTCCATGGGCTAAATGTCAATAGTGTCTGGCTAGGACCCCTTTACAGCCAATATTGCTCCTTAAACTTGTGTGTCTAGCTGTAATTAGACACAAAGCCAGAAGTTTTGTATAAACAGAGCTGGCTAAACCCAATAGCCCTGTAACTATATCTGGAAGGAACATAAACATGTTTTCCAAGAGGCATTTGCTGAAATCTGTTTTTGAAAAGGAATTTGCAATAGGCCCCAGCTCCTTCTCAAAAGCCTTTAATACAATGAAAAATGTTTCAATAGACATCTGACTGCACATTTCCAGGACAGCTAGTAGGAAACATTACCAAGGTATTGAATTATGAAGCAGAATTTCTATAGCTTCATCAGGGTGAAAAAAAATCTTACCTCTAGTCTTAGCCTTATTAATTTTGTTGAGGGGGTGGGAACAGAGCATTTTAGGTACCAAACAACTGTTTGACATTTACTAAATGTGAAATTAAAAGAATGAGGGAGAAGAGCAATGAAGCTGGTGGGAAGGAGCTGGCCAGCAGGGAGTGGGAAGAGATTATTTGGGACTGGCTGGCAGAAGGGAGCTGGTCAACAGTAACAGAAGGAGGGACTGCTGGGGAGGTCAGTGGGTAGGAGTTTGGGGAGTTGAGGTAGCAAGAGGAAGCCAGGGAGTGAAAAATAATGAACAATGGGAAATGCAGAGAAGAAGCCAAAAGGAAATCTTCAGAGTGCCTGCAAGAGCAATCATCTATGATGAAAAATATTTAAATCCTGTAAATTTCTTTAAAAAAAATGTGTACATATGTATGTATGTATGAGGAGGGAGAGGGGGTAGAGTGTTGAACAGAACTGTAGTCTTTCTGGAAAAAGTACACATAAGCCACTCTATTTGTATGACATAGAGGTATAATCCTCAATAGCCTAATCTTTATTAATTTTTATTACTATATTTTTTAATACTAAATGTTACATATACCATCTTCCTCAAGTTTCTGGGAGGGAAAAGCATAACAGATTTATATCTTCTCTTCCTTCTTCCCAATTCTTAGAAGGAACCTTTCACAAAAACCCGTAAGGTAGGACCAGGCCTAGTATAGACAGTCATTACTATAAGTTATGCTGATTCTTCATGTGTGAGGCAGCATGGTAGATAGTGTAAGAAACACTGGATGTGAAATCTCAAGAGCATTTAATCTGAATACCACTGATACTGGCTTTGTGACCTTGAGGAAGTCACAAACGTGCTATGCCTCCATTTCCACATCTGGAAAACAGGGACAATAATACTTGGTAATGCCAACCTGACAGGTTTGTTGTGGGGAAAGTGCTCTTCAAACCTTAAAACTATAGAAATGTAAGGTTTTATAGTACTTGGTCAGTAAGATCACAGATGTACAGTTGAAAGAAATCTCAAAGGTCATATAGTCCAATGCCCTTCTTTTTTACAGATGAGGAAACTGACGTAGTAAATGTCAGAGGCAGAATCTGAACCCAGGGTCTCCGACTATAAAGCCAGTGTGGGTGTTGGTGCTTCTTCATGGAACCCTGCCATCTCACTATGCTTGTGGTTGTGGTAATTCCTTTGGAATATCACCTGTTGCCTTTTTCTGCCCCACCCCCACCCCTGAACATAGAACAAGGTCAAACTATCATAGTTATAGCTGGCCAATGAGAATGAGTATGAATGAGTTTGCAGGATTGACCTTGTCCTTAAAAAAAAGGTCAATAAAAATAAACCATCTTCATTTTAAGAGCGGAGAATACACCTATCACTCTCTTTTTTGCAGGGTAAGAGGCTACGGATGTGAAATAGTGCATAGATTGTCAGACACAATTAATGTGTTGGTTTGAACTGCTTTTTCTCTCCCCTCCTATTTTTCTCTTGTTAATAATCTCTTACAAGGCTGGGCTTGATGGATGGGAAAAGCTCTATCTAGAAATGGAGATACTGTAAGACCAAAAGATATCAATAAAAATAAGATTTAAAAACCTACCTCAGAAAGCTGAGCTACTAAGTATGAAACAAAAGGCAGGACTACAGAGGCTTATTAATGTCCTTTCTAGCTGAAGATTCTAACAGTCAGCACCAAATCATTTCTATGAGCTAAGTCTATTTAGATCAAATGACAGTCTTTTATAATTGGCATGTTGGCATATGCCGATTGCTGCTTTTGTCTTTACCCTAATTGTCCTTTTATCCCTGTGCCAAGCAAACATTTACTCACAAACGGTACAGTTTCAAAGATCTATTAAGAAATCTGCATACCGGGTTTGTGTAGCAGAAAGAGCAATGAGCGGGGAGTCAGGATGTCTGGACACTGGTCTAATGACTACTATTCATTTGCTGTGTGACCTTCGGCAAACCAATGCCCTTCTCTGTTTCTTCATTCACCAAAGGAGGATGTCAGTTAGACCAGGTAATCTCAAAACTCTTTCTAACCTCACAATCCTATGAAATGAATTTGGGGATGCTGGCATATCATGGGTTTTCAGTCCATCATTCTGTCCCTCACCCCTTGAGAATATTTTCTCCCCTCCACAAACATGTTGTTGCCTACTGGCATCTTATTCATCCTTCGGGATCTACAGCTCAAATTCTACTTTCATTGGCACAAAACTCATAATAGATTAGAGGGCTGGGTTTGGAGTCAGAAGCCCTGGATTTGAATCCTGCCTCAGACATTACTAGCCCTGCGTTCACAGGGAAGTCACTGCTCAGAGTTTCAGGTTCCTCATCTGTAAAATGGGGGAAATCATACTTGCACTTCCTACCTCCAGGGACGTGAGGGAAATGTTTTATAAACCTCAAAGTTCTATAAAAACCTAAGTTAGAGAGGTAGCATGGTGTTGTGGATAGAAAGATCTGGTTCAAGACCTGTCTCTGACGTATTTGGGCTATGACAGCCAGGAAGAAATCACAACCTCTCAGTGCCCCAGGAAACTCTAGAAAACTATAAGTTACAGAGGCATTACCAGTCTGCTTTGGTGAAAAAAGTTTCCATTCCATTTCTGGAGTTGTCCTTCAGTGAAATCACATCCGAACATCTCCCCCCACCCCCCAAAATAAAACTTTCACCTCTCTTAAGCTCTTAATTTGTTCTGCTTGTTTTCATAATTAGGGCCACATTCCACCCCCACCCTCCCAGCCCCCAAATAAGGCTAAGGATCATATCATAAGGATCTTATCTGTATCTGCTCCTGGTGCTTAACAGAGTACTTTGAACCCAGTAAATGTTTAACAAATAGTTGCCAAATATAGATATGGGTTGCAGTTGACACTGAAGGTCTCAAGGCACCTCTGAGATGAGGAAACTGTACCCCTCGATGGTGTAGAATGCCCTCCTACAATGAGATATCAAAGGGATTGCCTTAATTTTCCCTTCAAGTCCCTTCTATCAATTAGCCCCTACCCACCCACACCTCTTCTCCCGAGCACTGGTCCTAGAGTCAGAGGACCTGGGTTCAAATCCTTCCTCGGATACTTACTAGCTCTGTGACCTCGGGCCACTCACTCGCCTTTTTGGGGCCTGTTTCTTCCTTTGCAGAATGAGGCTGCCGGCCCACAAGGGCCCTACCTCTATGATCCTTACTACTCCACCATATTCAATCTCTTTCAGTTCCCTTCTTTTAGTCCTCTTTCATACTTTCAATTTTCATTCCAATTTCCATGCCTTTGTTTACGATATTCCCCCAACGTGGATTTCTTTCCATCTTTCCTCCTGACAATGCACATCCTTTATTTCCTTTACAGTCAAGTTGGTCAACTGGTCAAGACCAATTCTCTGCACAGGCTTCTCTGATTCCTCCTTGGCCTCAGTGATCTTACCTACCTTTGAATTCTTAGAGCATAATAGGAGATGCACTGGATAGAGCACTGGGCCCGGAGTCAGGAGGATCTGAGTTCAAATCCAGCCTCAGACATGTACTGGCTGTATGACCTTGGGGAAATCACTTAACATTTGTCTGCCTCAGTTTCTCTATAGTAGAATGGGGATAATAGTAGCAGGGTTGTTGTGAAGATAAAATGAGATAATACTTGTAAAGTGCTTTGCAAAACTTAAATTATGTTATATTTTATCATGCCATGTCACGTCATATCATATTAATGATAATTTTTCCCCACTCTAGAGCACTACACAAATGCTGGCTCTTATTATAATTATTAGTCCCTGAAGTCTTTGGATATCTATTTCTTCATACAACTTGTTTCATAACATATTCTATTTTTTCCCCATCTCCCACAGCATCAAGAACAGTAGTGGACACATGACAGAACTATAAATGCTTGCTGATGGAGTATTTAGATTAATGGTGTCAAACTCAAATAGAAAAGGGGTCACCAATCCAGATCTAAGGCTCCCCTGAGGGCTGCAGATGGATTTAGTTTTAAAATGTAATATTATTTATGTTTTATTATATTTTTATTTATTTAGTTAAAATTTCCCAATTACGTTTTCATCTGGTTCAGGCCACTCTCATGTTTTGACACCTTTATTTTGAGTATATTTTCCTAGTAAATACTTGACCACTCTCTGAGATATTCGTCAATTTGATCTCATCTTTGCTTACCCCGCTGTCTTGCTTTCAATCATCATTGAAGTGAATGGATTTGAACAGAGAGGATCATTATATGCCGTTGTCTAGCATTAGTTGATCAAGCTATGTTAATTTTAAATCATGCTTATCAATTTACTTTGGATTTGAGGCCTATTTCTGATAAGGAGAATCACTATTCCTCTTCTTCCCAAAGGGGAAAAAAAAACTGAATAGAAAAAGAGAAGGAGGGCATGAGAAAATTAAGTTAATTCAAGATACCAGGAGGCATTTAGTTCCTATAATGAGAGGAATTTATTGGCTTTTAAAAATTAATATGAAAAAATGTCAAAAAATCTTCATATTCTAAGCAGCAAATTGCTACTTGGTAGTAAAAAGAAAAAAAAAGAACAAGACAATTCAGAACTATTGTTTTTTTCTGTAAGGGGAGTTATATCCCTAATCTCATCCCAAACATGGAAGATTCTCTGCCCCAAAAACGGAAGATTCTCTGCCCCAAAAACTTATGGTGTTGAGTCATGTCTGACTCTTTGTGACCCTGGGGACTGTACTATCCATGGGGATTTTACAATTTATGAAAGTAGCACAGGAAACTCAGTGCCATAAAACATTAGGGTACTATTCCAGCTCTTTTTTGTTCCTTACTGGATTTTCACAAACATCTATTAGGACCAGTGGGTGGAAGTAACTTGCAGGCAAATTTCACTCAATATAAGTCACGTCTTTCTGCAATGAGAGTTGTCTCAGAGTGGTACAATCAATGCATGAGAGTTCCCCATTCACTAAATGTGTTCAAACAGAGGCTCTGATCACTTATCACGGAGTTGGAGGTTCACAGATCAAAGAAGAAGGGAATTTAGAAGAAAAAGAGGGGACTGAATCATATTCTGGATGATATTTGGACTACATATGCTCCAAAGTTGCTTCCAACTGGAAAAATTTGTGATCTGGCTGAGGTTACTCCCCACTTTGTGACTTCACAATCTTGACTGCCCACTGATGAAGGAGGCCATTTATACAGATGTTGTTCACTCCTGAGGAATTGTGACAATTTGGTGGTGGGTGAGGTGACTCCTCTGTAAGATGCTTTGGAAAAGCATTTTAGGATGAAAGACCCTATTTGAAGAGGAGAACACTATTCTTTTGAGAATCATACAGAACTGGACAAATGGGTCAAAAATAGAAATAAGCCTGGGACTAATTTCATTCCCCCCGAGGCACTGAAGCTGGGTCTCCCATTGTTAGTCAGTCACCTTATTCTGCCACATAAGCTTTTTTGTTGGTCTTCTGAACAAAATAATTTTGTCTTTGCAATAGAAATGTAATTGCTGCAAGAACAAAATACAGCCAAGAAAATGTTTTCCTTGGAACAACAGGGAATGAGAGAAAATTAGAAGTCAGCTCACTATGGAAAGACCTCCTTAATAAAAATGTTTTTGCTAGAGCTAAGAATTTTCCCAGTAGAGCACTTAGTATGTCAGTAGTAAAACTTGAGTTTTAAAACATTTTAGTGAAAAACCAAACTTCATTGTGGTATAACACCTAACTTCTATTCTAATTCTATGTTCCAGTTGGATTTCTGAGTGCCAACTAAATGTAGTTAGGTAAAGCTAATGAGGTAAGTCATACACTATTAATGGGATGCTTAACTCAAGAGCCTACAGTTGTGAGGACAGGGCTGGACAGTTTAGCAAGTGATATCTCACAGTATTTAAGGCTCTGTGCCATATCTGGGTTTGTTCCAGAATTTCCCAGGTTCCTTGAGGGTCCACCTAGGCAAGGGACAACTCCAGGTTATTTATTTCTTGATTCATTATAGAGCAGAATCCTTGGTCTTCTTAGAGTTTTACATCTATACTTGGAGCCTGGGGCATAACTACGACCATACTTTATACTGGTTGAGAAAACCACAAACCAGCTTTATCCCTTTTGTGTTTCATTCTGTTTTTCCCTATTGGGTTATCTAGTAAAAACATACTGGGGTTGGAGGACGGTAACAGGTTGGGAGGAGATATATGTTATTTTTGTTGCTGAAAAGAATACCTTACCCCAAATACCAAAATCCCATTATGCCAAAACAATTAAGATACAACCTTAAAAAGGTTTTGGGTTGCAGTGAGATGGCTCAGTGGACAGAGTTCTAGTCCCAGAATCAGGAAGATCCGAGTTCAAATCTGGATTCAGATACTTACTATGTAACTCTAGACAAGTTATTTAACTTCTATTTAGCTTAATCCACTGACGAACAAAATGGCAATCCCCTCCAGTATGCTGCCCAGAAAACCCCATGGATAGCATACTCCCCGGGGTCACAAGGAGTTGGACATGACTCAACGACATAAGTTTTTGGGGCAGAGAATCTTCCATGTTTGGGATGGGAGTAGGGATATAACTCTGATTACAGAAAAAAACAATAGTTCTGAACTGTCTTGTGCTCTCTCTCTCTCTCTCTTTTTTTAAATAGGGAAAAAAACAAAAACAAAAAGAAAAACAACTTACTACCAAGCAGCAATTTGCTACTTAGGATATGAAGATTTTTTGACATTGTTTTTTAATATTAATTTTTAAAAGCCAATAAATTCCTCCCATTGTAGGAACTAAATGCCTCATCCCATACATTTTAGATAGACAGACACACAGATGGACTGAATGGGTCACCTCCCTATCTCACCCAGATGCAAGAGCATCAGACAATCATGGAACCGACTCCACTGCTGAGCTGCATGGAGCCTTTACCTTGTTCTTTTTCTCACTTGGCCTGGTTTCCTCCCCTCTCTGCTGAGGAAGTCTGGTGGCCCCTTGCTTCCAGGGATTCACCATACTGGTGAACAGAGCAGATGCCCAACTGGCTTTAGCCAAAGCTGTTCAGTTGTTTCAGTCATGTCTGACTCTGCACAACCCCATTTGGGGTCTTCTTGGCAAAGATACTGGAGCTGTTTGCCATTTCCTTCTCCAGTTCTTTTTACAGATGAGGAAACCGAGACAAACAAGGGTAAATGACTTGCCTAGGGTCATGTGGCTAGTGAGTGTCTGAGGTCAGATTTAACCTCAGGTCTTCCTGGCCTGGTGCTCTATCCACTGAGCCACCTAGCTGCCCCAGGCTTTAGCCCTGCTATAGCTCAGAACCTCAGAACTCAAGCAATCCTACCGGCCTCAGCCTACCATAGCAGCAGGTCACAGGTCTACACTAGCACACCTATGCTCACCCCATACATTTTAACCTGGGATAAAAGAAGATGGGAAACCATTATCAATGTCAAACTTAAAACACTAAGCAATCCGAACCAATAGTTTAGCCTTTAATCTAGAGCCTTCTCACTCCTGCTCTGTCAGGAATAAATATATTATGATTACAAGAGATACACATCACAAGCCAGATCACAGGCAGGAACAGAGCATTCTGCCTGGCTATGATAAGAATGGATGGTGGGGACGCTGCTGTGGTTTTTCACAAAGTCAAACACCAAAATGGTCAGAGGGCAATAAGGAGCTTCATTTAAAAGCAAACAAATCTAGCTGTGTGACCCTGGGCAAGTCACTTAACCCCACTGCCTAGCCAAAAATAAAATAAAATAAAATAAAAGCAAACAAAAAACCTGAGGAGCTATTCCCATGATGAAGTTAGCTTTGCATGATATAAGTCAGAAGCAACCATTCTATCACTAGTGTTAAGAGATCAGAATAATGCATAGGTTTGAGGCTCTTCCCAGTATGGCAAGGCAGAAATACTGTATGTACGCCAGGATGTATGGAGAAACAATTTGCCACAGAATATAAAAATACATCAATGGTGCAAATAGAGTAAGGTTCATTCATCAGAAACAACGGGAGCAAGAAGGGCAGAATTCATGACACGATGGAAAGAAATAATGAGAATGAGTGCAACTGGTTTGTGAAAACTGCTGAATCTTCTGGGCTGTGAGTTCAGCAAGCACAGGTTGTTGTTAATAAAGATAGTGCTTCCGGTAGTATGCCCAGCGATAAAGATGATTTATAAAACCCTTCAGGTGAAGATCTGTCTGCCTGAAGCAGCCGATAAAACCAACTTCCACACAGGAAGGATCGGCATCTGCCTCAATGATAAAGCTGGGTTGCTGGAGACAAGGAGATGCGTTGCCATGGTGAGGAAATTATTTTAGGCTATTCGAGTCTGATACTGTGTCTCCGCAGGACTTGGAAGTGGCAGGGCAGACTTTCAGCCTCCCTAACTACCCCAGGGAAGGTATAAAAACGATGGATCTACTCTTTAGATGTCAGATTCACAAACGATCGGGAAAATTCGCATCTTCTCTTGCACAAATAGGGATCTAGCTTTCCTACTAGTAATTTAGGAGTCAGAATTCATACTTCCAATATGCTAATTTTAAAAAACAAAGCAGTCACTTGCTGGGGAAAAAAAAAAGAAAAAAGGAAAAAACTCTCACTACCACACTTCTAACAGCCTCATTCTAAAAATCTAAAGACAGTAAGCTCAGATTGCAAAATCTCCACTGCTGGTCAGGATAAATGAGCTGGAAAAAGGTCTAATTTACCCTTTCAAGGCTGTATTACATCCGCAGGGTCCACAGCTATAAAATGTTTTGTTCAGTAAAACAAAGAAAATTCCTCTCTAGCAGGTGGGCGATTCTGTCGATGTTAAGAGCCCTCCTTTATATTTGTAACTTTTCCCACTCCAAAGAAGCAAACTCTCACCCTCATCACTGGAATTTTTCTCTTGCTATTTTTAATGAGTTCCAGATTTTAGTCCTTTGTCTTTCAAAGTTTTGTTATCAGGAATATAAGCTTCTCTGATTTATGAAGGTATTATTCTCCTGCTCTGAATAATTTTAGAGGTTCACATGAGGCTTGAATTTACCACATATTAGATGTTTTGCACAGAGAAAATTCATATAGCAACAGAACACTAAAATACTCTAATTTAGTTACATCTCTTTGAAGTTAGACCAGTGGGTCAATCTTAAATCAACTCTGTTCATGTCAAAGGTTTTTCATTGGCCCCCTTCATCTTCCAACTATTTTTTTCCAAGTGGGAAAAATGTTTTTCTTTCTTTTCCTTTTTTGCCTACACATCTAGAAGACTGACATACCATTTGACAACTGGCATGTATTCATTATCAAATTATTGTAACTTCCTCAGGGGCATATAAATGCAAAACAACAGGAATAAAAAAAACCCCAACCTTTTTTTAGTTCATACCTCTTTTTTCACAACTTTTGGGACTCCAGAAATACAAATGGCAAGTAGAAGTGAAGCCACGCAATTAGGTCCAAGCAAGAAGACCATCTAAATACACCCTTCATAAGTCATCCGTAAACTACATCATATGGTCTTTTAACCCAAATCATAAAAAAATGAAAGCAATTTCTACAGAATTCAATTTCTCTCCTTTTAGTGGCCTGATTTAAAAACAGAAAGAACTTAAGTATAATAACACATCTTAGCTTTTTCTTACTGTTAATTCTCTGTTCAATGAGTTTGCCTTCTTTACACTGATCTCAACGCTACCGATGTTCTGCTTCAGCTCTACCGGGGAGCCATCCACTCTGGCCACACCTTCAAATCTCTGAGATCTAGTTAACGAGGGGGAAAATGTTGCTGTTGTACACTCTCTTTCTTTCTCTTCTTCTACACCATTAAAAGTTTCTCCATTCACGCTGACTTTTTCATCTACCTGTAAATAAGAAAACAGACAAAAACCACAGTATGACCTAATAACCAAAGAATAATGCAAACGTAAAACACTGGAATGATGACAAGCCCACAGAACTGTAAGAATTTGAAGGGACCTCAGAACTCATCTAGTCCAATTCATACCCAAACAGGGAATCCTCACTACAACACAGCTGATAGTCACCTAGTCTTTGCTTGAGGGCTTCCAGGGAAGAGAAAAGCACTCTTTATTAAGGCAGTAGATTCCACAGAAAGATTGTTCTAGTCTAGGAATTTTTCCAAATATCAAGACTAAAATGACCTTTTTGTAAGATCCAACCACTGGAACTTCCAACTGTTTCGAATTCTGACCATTAGGACCAAGTAGAACAAAACTATTTATTCCCTTATTCATTCTTTTTTTTTTTTTGGGGGGGGTGTTTGGTGAGGCAGTTGGGGTTGAGTTACTTGCCCAGAGTCACACAGCTAGTGAGTGTTATATGTTTGAGGGTAGATTAGAACTCAGGTCCTCCCAAATCCAGGGCTGGTGCTCTATCCACTTTGCCACCTAGCTGCTCCTCCCTTGTTTATTCTTAACTGGGTCTAAGATGGCATGATCTTAAGGCCCTCCACCACCCTGGCTGTCCTCTCTATCACATTCCTATCAAAGCTCTTAGAACTAAAGTGGGTATTCTTAATTTCTTTTGCATCATACCATCATCCCCTTTGGCTGTCTGGTAAAAACTATGGACCCATTCTTAGAATAATGCTTTAAAATGCATAAAGCAAAACATATTAGATTTTAAATAAAATACAGTGGACTCCAAAATACAAAGGAAACATATTACAATTATGATTACCAAAAAGCTTTGAAAGCAAAACAAAACCAAGGTTAGGGCCCCAGGTTAAAAAGTCCTGGATTAGAGGGAGCAGAAAATACTCCTTCATAAAGGATCACATCTAATGCTCAAAGGAAAGCAGGTACCTAGGAGTAAAACCTGTCACTATTGCTCAGTCTTCTCATATAGAGCAGCTCTGGATGTACAACGCAAAAGAATACAACAAATTCTTGCACAAGAGCAGGCTACTTTTCTTCCTCTGTCTCAGCTTAGTCTCTTCCACGCATTTCAACAATCCCTGGCTTCTGTGCTAGGATAATTCATTAAATGAAGCGCGTGAGAATTGATAAGAGTGAACCCTATACAATCAAAAACTTTCAGCTGTTTCTCAAATCAAATCCCAGGCTCCCATACTCCCATTACTACATGTCAGTTTGCCTCGATGGGTTTTGATTATGAGAGCCAATGCTGAAACACAGAAAGGGGCCGGTGATCCCATCAAATGTTATTTCTGGTCATTCCAATGGACCAGGCTGAGAGAATCCTGGGATCAGAAGTGGAGGAATAAGGGGACATGGGGAAGGATACCACAACACTGAGGTGCAAGTCATTTGTTCTAATATTCCTGTTTAAAATAAAACATTATACTATTTACATTAAGGAGGGAAAAGCAGACATACAGGTTATCCACTCAGATGCAGAATTAAACAAACTCATTTCCTTCTCCTGCTCTGTGTCATCTCAATACAGTATCATTTTCATGAATAGCCTGCTTGTTAGTGTAAGCAGGTAATCCAGCTATTGCTGAGCTATGTCTGAATCTTAACTCATAGAGCTCGATGTAAAACAGGCCTCTTGGTCAGCTCAAGCTGCATGCGTCCACAGAAACTGTTGAGGAGCTACTTCCCCAATTTATTTCATACTTCCTGGGAGTGAAGTGACAGAAATTCTCAACCTCACCAAGTCAATTAGATTGGGGAAATTTTCATTTGTCCTTTCAACAGAAGCTATAAAACCATGACTTTAAAAATGTAACCCTGACTGCCTCAAAATAAAAAAAAAACAAAAACAAACAAATTACTTGAAAACAAAAGGAAGCTGTTTCTGTAATGAAGCCAACAGCATCTCTCTCTCTCTCTCTCTCTCTCTCTCTCTCTCTCTCTCTCTCTTCAGCAAAGGTCAGAAAGTTTAGGCTTGTATACTTTGAAATTAAATGAGGAAGATAAACTACTTTGTGCTAACCAATTAATTTAAGTAAACAATGTCCTTGTGCTCATAGTTTGAATCTCCTAGCAGTGAATTCCAGCTCTGTCTTTTTCTGTGAAGCTATTATAACCCCATGTGGCTTGGAGTGATAATAGAAGCCGATTTTTCTTTGCCATGAAAAGAACTGAAGACAAAGGATGAATGCTCTCTTGTGATATGATCCCAACCCTTTCTCTCTAAGAATAAAGAGCAGAGTTTGAGGATATGGGCAAGATATTTGAGTTTCACAAGTCCCTTGGTTCTGGATCCAGTTTAAATTTTCTAGGTATAACCTCCATAATCAATAAGGCTTATAGCTTATATGGTCATCCCACCTTTCAGAGAGAAGGGATAGCCAGGCACCAAAGTCATCTCTGACCACCTGGGGTAGCAATGTACCCTTTCTATTTGTTAATATTACTTTTTTGAAGTCGCAATACCCTTCATATGATGATTATTTGATTTCACGGCACTTCCCTCTTAAAGGATGTTTTTACTCTTTACAGGACAGATTTATTTCTTAAATTATATTTTTGGAGAGTTTTGCCATGCCCTTTCAAATAATAATTTACATTAATATAGTACTTTAAAAATTGCCTCCTGCTTAACATCTACTGTGTCCTGCAAAAGTAGCTAGGTGATGCAGTGAGTAAGCTGGAAATGGAGTTAGGAAGAAGTGAGTTCAAATCCTGCCTTGGGTACTTTTAATAGCTTTGTGACCTTCAGCAAGTCACTTAACTTCCTCATCTATACTTACATTACAAGTTTTCCTCACCTATAAAACTGGGAATAATGACAGCACGCAACTCCCAGGGTTGTTGTGATGATTAAATGAGATTACATGGGTAAAGAGCTTTGTAAATCTTAAAGTGTGGTAAATAAATAGTAGCTATTATTATTATTAATCTATATACCAACCCTGTGAGGGATGCATCACAGCTATTAATAATCATTTCCCATTTTACAGATGAGGAAATGGGGGTTAAAAATTTAAGCGATTTGCCTTTTACTGCATACCTACTAAGTGACAAAGGTGTCTTGAATTCTTAGTCCAGAACCTAATACACTTCCTCCTTCCTCTCCTAGGCAGATAACCACAGCCACACTGGGGAGCTGCAAAACCAGGGCTGAGAATCATTAGTGACATTCTACTATCTCAGAACATATAGGAGTTGGTCTCGAATTGGACTGCATGAAGATTAAATCTTTGTTATTGTGGTTTAGAGGAGTAAGACCTTCCTGATTATTACTAAACCCACATCTTTGGAGGGACACACACTTTGAAGCTGTCTATTTTAGCTCTGCTTGAAAAAGGACTAATTGCATTTTCTTGAGTTAAGACTGCTTTTTTCTAATCTGCCTTTTGGGAGCCTACTGTCTCATTCCAACCTCAAGAAAGCCACTCCTACCTTAAAGGTTTTCAAAACCTGCTGTGTGTTTTTCGGCTGGTGGTAAGGCTTAGGTGTCAGCATAGGCACTGCTTTTGGAACAACAGTTTTGCTTGGAGATGTACTGCCTGCTGAAACACTGGGGTCCAGTTCACTGGGGTGAGCAATGGTAGTTTCAACAGTGGCAGTGAATTTGGGAGGAGGCAGTGACTGTTGCCGCAAGTATTTCATGGGATTTGGGTCATTCAGGGAAGATGAGTTTGGCTCTGTTGAATGGCTTCTTTCCAGAATTTTTGGCATCTCCAAGCGCTCCAGGACAGCCTCGCTAATAGTAAACCTTTCGATGTACTGCTGGAGGATCCCCTCTGCCTCCTCTCGGGAGCGGGCATTCTTATAAGCCTCGTGTAGCTCTCTCTCTCTCCGTTCCCTAAATGGAGGTGGGGAGAAAGCAACAATAGAGATGCCATTGAAATGCTTTGCAAAGATGGCCATCGAGGCAGATGATAAAGGAACAATACAAGACCTATACTTTTTGGCTAATTCAGCATATGTGCAGAATAAGGATTATAGTGTTTAGGATAAAACTTTTGTGACTTTTCTTTTAGATTTATTTTTGGTTTCATATGGATGCTGAGAATAGAATATTAGGTGACCACACAGTTACGATTATAATGAAAGAATTTTTAAAAATATATTACACATAAAAAAAAAAGAACTCACTTTTCCTGAACAATCTCTCTGTAGGTTTTAATACTTTTCCTTCGTTCACTTGTTCCATCGCCTCCAGCCAATAATTTTTCCATTTTTTTCCTCTCAGCTTCTTTCTTGATCAGGTCCTGAGATGCACTTCTTCTACGGCTTTTCCAACGAGCCAAGTCCTAGAAAGGAGGAAAAACAACAAAAAGATGCTATCCTTCAGAAATTCACATTACCAAATACATTCCACTCCTCTCCTCAAGAGCTTTTCACTTCAGTCACCATCCCAACTCGTTTGTGAGGTGTGTTTTGGACAGTCAAATCAACAAGCATTTATTGAGTGCATACTGTATACCAGGAACTGTGCAAAGCACTGGGGTCAGAAAAAAAAAGGCAAAAATACAGCCCTGCCCTCAAGGAGCTCACATCCTAATGGGAGAGACCTCATGCAAACACATATGTATATATGAGATATATAAGGTAAATGGAAGATAATCTCAGAGGGAAGGCAAGAGAGTAGAAAGGGAGTGGCGGGAACTAGGAAAAGGGTAAGCAGGATTTGTGCAGAGGCTTGAAGGAAATCAGGAGATTGAGGAGAGGGAGCATTCCAGTTTCCTTTTTTCCTTTCATTTTTTTCTCTAGACTGTTCAGAAGTGGTTAATTTTGTCTTGTTAGAATGTGTCTCATGCTCAGGAAAGACACTTATATGCCATTGGTCTTTATTTCTTCAGAAAGAGCTCTGAAATCAGTTGCACAATGGGACTGTTCATCTGCAACAGACTTCCCAGGAAACTCCATCACTATGGGTTTATGCTTTCAAAATCTTTTCTACACAATTTACATCTTCTATAGAGCAAACTATCTGTGGTAATCACAGTATTACCATCAAGAGACCCTCGCAATTAATTCCAAGTTAACACAGCTTCGTGCATTAAAATGATAGCCTCCAACCGCCACTTAGTCCCCAAACGACTTGTGTCATTGACTCCCATTAGTACGGAATCCAAAGCTTTCATGAAGCAAGGAATATTTTCTTCCCTGGCAATAACTTAGGATAGTAAAAGGGAGAATATATTTAAGGAAGAAATGTGTTCAAATGAATTTTGATTCATGTTCAGAGTTCTGAATTGATTCGTAGTTCTAATTTTCTAATGATTAGGTATAGGATTCAATAAGAGAACAGGTGATACCGGTTCTACCAGCTGCTTTGTTTTACATGTGCTTCACAATGAACTACGGTAATCAAGAACACTGTACTCTCCCAATTTCCAATAACTCATAGCTTTTATGATTGCCTCTTCCAATATATCCTGGTCACTTATGCTAGATTACACGAATGTGCATGTGATTTGTGAATTTGTCAACATAAGGGAACTCCTAGTGTGGGAATTATTTTTGCCAAGAAGGTTATAACCCATCAATGACCTACCTAGAAGAGAAGTCTTCAAGGTTGTTAAGGCTTATAGAGTTAGTGAAGTGACTTGCCCAGGGTCACACAGTTGAGAAATGAATCTAGGCCTTCTTAATTCCAAGCCCAGCAATCTTTACACTGCCACATCTTGCTGCCTCTAATGCTAGACTAATCATGTTTTTTAAACGTCATCTACATCATGTCACATTTCTGTTTAAATATCCTCAATGACTTCCTTTTTCCTAGCTTTATAATTTCACTCTTATTTTGCATTTTATATAACACTTGAAAGTGGACTAGAAGTTTTCTTCACAACAACCCTACAATGTAGATAGTATGAATATTAATAACTATGTAAACTCTTACGGAACTGGATTTTTGGGGGGAAGGAAGAGATCGCCTTTTTTTTTTTTTTGTATTTCTAGAACTCAGCAGCAGTGCCTAAGCACATAGAAAATACTGAGGAAGGCCTTGGATATCATGTAATCACATCCGGTGATTTGGTGTTGCCCATTTTACAAAGCAGCAGAACTGGAGCTTGGCCCCAGTTCACATATCAAACTCGGCTTCCCAGGCCCACTCTCCCTAGCCAGTCTCCTTTTCCACTAACTGCCAGGCCATGGTGCCCAGCCTGGGGAGGGCTGCAGTGGGATTTCAGAGCAGCCTCACGCTGTCCTTACATCTTGCCATTTGTGGTCCTCTTCCTTCAGCTGGCTGTTAATAAGCTGCAGCTGCTCCTGCCGAGCCTTGCTATGGGGCTGCACGGCGGCGGCTTCTTCTTCACACCGCATGTCAAGCATACTCATGCTCCTAAAAGCAAAACCATTAAAAAATGCAATGATCAGCAGCAAGCAGTCAAGGTACTTTTCTCCAGTTTCTGTAGGATTCCACCAGAGGGGGGATGCTTTAAGGCAAAAGGAAAGATCTTTCTCTTCAGAAGCAGCAGGAACTACCAAATAGCAATGGTGTACCCTAGAGCCGGGGTGTCAAACTCCCTAAGAAATGTGGATGGGCATTAAACTTCACTAAAGAGTCCCTGTGGGCTGGATAGTGGCTTAGAAAACCACGTCTTTAGAGGCTTCTTTTGGAATTATGCACCAACACATTAAAATCAGCTAGAAACTACATATTAATTTAAAATTTCAGTTCAGGGACCTTCAGAGGTTTCCTATTTCCTAGTTTTATTGTTTCAGTCTTAATTTGCATTTTACATCACACTGTTTTCTGATAATGTTTTCTTCCCAACAATCCTGGGATGTAGGTAGTATGAATATTAATTAGCATTTAAACTACCTATCTTGAGGGCAGGGACTGTCTTTTGCCTTTTTCTATCTCCAGAGCTTAGGACAAAGCCTAGTACAGAAAAGGAGCCTAGTATATGTTTCTTGACTATTGATTGAATCTGGTTCTAGCTGCACATTGGAGAGCTATGGGCCCCGTCTGACACGTCTGCCCTACAGTATTCTAAATAAGCACACCAGCACTACCAGCCTCTATTATTCCTTCTGGCTAAAGCCAAATCCTGATTGCCTCTGTCTTTAAAGATGAGTTTGATTCATCTTTACTAAGTCTTCACAAGTGCAAAAGCCAAAGAAAACTCTTTCTAAAAAAAAAAATCAGGAAATACTGTTGTTTGAAGCCTCGTATTTCCTTGCTCTTACAAGGTATTAAAAATAAAAAGAAGAGAATGGAGAAGGATTTGAGGTTACACCTCTGGAAAAAGCTGTACAAAGTCTGTCCTGAGGTTGCGTGCAATGAAAATCATTACGTTATGTTCCATGGTGTAAAGACCCTGCTTCAATCCTTTCTGAATTAATACCAGTGTTTCTGGGCTATTTGAAGTATTTTTTTAAATGGAGGAAAAGAACAAAAACTGTAAAATAATATCCGCTATTTTTGAAATCCCCCAAGGATTTTATTTTATTTTATTTTTTGCTAAAGATGCCTCTGAACTTACTCTTTGAAGAAAATAAGGATGCAATAACTATTAAAAAAAAATCCTGACAAGCTATGGACATGCTCCATATTTTGCCCAAGATGTTCAATTCTTGTGCAAAAGCACAGCTGTTTACACTGAACAAAGAAGCAACAGCATGAGAACAGCAGCCAAAGATGAAGGAAGACCTTCCAACTTTTCAAGGGTAGTAGAGGCATATTCCCAGGAAAAGCAAGGATCCTTTTTGCAAACAACAAGCATGAAGCTGAACTTAACTACCAGGAGCAGACCAGCATTCCCAAGAGTTAACCTCAGGTGCTAGTTAAAAAAGAATAGGCATGCATTCTCATCTGAGGTAATTTCACAGCAGAGGACAGATGTCATTAGTGATACGCCCCAAGATAGCTATTTATAATCAGACAATTAGCAGCAGAGACATCAGATGAAGATAGAAGATTCAAGAGCAGGAAACTAGAGATTTCCTCCTTGCATCCAATGGATGGAAGCTCAACTTCATTTCCCGTGACTCAACCTACATCAGTATCTGGGGTTACATCCCTCTTCTTGCTATAGTGCCGCATACCTGGAACATAGTGGTGCTTAATAAATGCTTATTGATTGGGTCTTCTCTGTCAGAGAAAATTATATCTAACAACAGAGAACAACAAACAGATCTGGTAGAGGGCCTGCCTGCCAAAGGGAAAGAAAAGCAGCTCATTTTGCTACTACACTAAACATGGTAGACATTTCTATTTTAACGCTCATTATCACTGGTTGGATTTAGCAGTAGGATGAACAGCATATTAAAAAAGAGGAGCTGTAATTTCCATGGAGTGACTGATCTCTAATCTATTCTTAATCATTAGTAGATGTTTTCTAAGACAGCTATAAGACTCATTAGTAGATGTTTTCTAAGACAGCTATAAGACTTAGTAAGGGGAGAAGGCTACAAATTCTCAGTTAGTAACCTTGCATTAAACCTGACAGATATTATTCAAGATCTGCAAGGCAGGATGCCATTTTCTTTCCTCCTTCCCATCCCATCCCATCCCCACAGGTCTTACCTCTAAACAGAGCGTTTACTGCCACCTCCAATCCAATCAGTTCAACTTTGGGGTCATTTTAAGGTATTCTGAAATCTTTACCAATGCCCCAGAAGAGGTCTGCTTCTCTGAAATATGACCTTCCCTCTAATTCACCAATGTGATGGCTGACTTGGGAGAAGAAAAATGGAATCCACTTTTCTAAGATCCATTTTTTTACTTTTCCAAAAGTCAGACTTCCAGAATGAGCCAGATTTTAATACTAGATAGCCAGAGTACCTAAAGAGGATTCCAGAAATAATACTATGTCTTTTTTTGATTATTATTTTAGATTTGAGTTGGGCATTCAGAATAGGAATTTCAGAATAACACAGACAGCTGCACTGAAAACAGACAAATGGGTCCCTTAAGGCTAACTGAGCCCTAAAGCTAATGAGTTAAATAAAAGAGGAACGAGTTCTTTCCCAACTCTCCCCCCCCCCATACCCTAGGAAGGAGAACAGCTTCCTAGTTGACTTTTTAGTAACTGGGGTAAATACTAACCCTGCCAAAGAAATAACAGGGTAATGAGAAGAGAGGTCCTTTTCTGGCCAACTCCAAAAAAAAAAGGAACCAAAAAGGTTAAGGAATTGGTACTCATAAGCAGAAAATGGGCTGAGTCACCAATCAGAAGAGTTTCTCCAGTTCAGAGCCTAGATTCAATCTGCAGAGTGAAAGGAGAAGTGTATTTTTGGAAAGAGGAGATGGTGGAGCCCAGCAGGCTGAAGCACCCTGGTGTGCTTGAAATAGATTTTGTTCCTCTCAGGTAAAGTTCAATCTGTCACCGTAAGTTGTTATCACAAATGAACTTTTCTGTAGAACCCAACAGTTTCCGCTAGTACTGTATTATATCGGAATCCAAGATTCTCTAGGGCAAAACCTAGGTAACCTTAAAAGAGATTCTGGGAACGTCTCTGTGCCTGGTTCACAGGGTAGGACACGAAGAGACCAGGAGATCCTGATGATATTTAAACGCTAATGTCCTGGGGGTGAGATTGTGGAGGTGAAGCCATTGTAAAATTGAGGAAAAGGATAAGAGGAAGAAATGGTCTATGTGAAACATGAGCATTTTGTGTGGTTAGAAGACCATTTGGTTATCTCCAATTTCCTTGTGCCATTCTGATCCTTACCATGGACTGTCCTTAAAAGTCTTTCTGGGTATGATTACTGGGCTGGATTTTAAAATCGTGTTATTTACTGATTCTATTTTAAATCATTAGCAAGAAAAAAATTTTTTTTGACAGATTCTGAAATTAGATTGGAGTTAAAATGGTATCTCAGGAAGAAAAGTCAGCACAGCATTTCTACATAACGTCAGCTGAGGAAGAAGCCAATCATACTCAGTAATTGTTGCTTATTTTGTTTGGTCAGCCTAGTTTTTGTAATGTGGAAATAATTTTTTTTTCTTTTTCCAGGCACCTCTTTGACTCATGAACTAACCTTTTCTGTGGATGAACTGTTCTCTGAAAGTTCAACTCAACATTCTGAAGCCTTTCTAATTTGAGAGCTCTTCAGTACTACCTTTTTCTTGTTTCAGTCTTTTAAATGTATTTCTGGAAAACTGCATGACAGACATGCACTAATCTAGTTGTGACTTGAAGGTATCAAAATGTTTCTGAAAACTGAATCCAAGCAGTTAACTCTTCCTATCAGTTTCTTTTTTTTTCTTTCTGACAGATAAAAAGGGATAAAGACTTATTTTGACCGTGTATCTTAACAATTCATTTCACTTAGGTTCAAATGCTCATATCAGAACACAATGAACATAATGAACCACAGCTAAATTTTATAAACTATTTCACTGACTATGGCCAGCTGAATTCAGTAGCTCTGTTCCTTAATGTGAATTTTCAAAATGCTGAAATATGAACCAAGAATGGCACACTAAAAAGCAATTGGTGCTTGGCCCAGACAAGGCTTACATTCCTTCAAAAGGCACCAACTGCAGTTCTAAACCAGCTGGCATCTTTTACCAGGGAAAAAAAAAAGAACATAAAGTGTCCATTTGGAGCCTTAATTTTACTAAATTTTTTTATGACCTTATAAAAAGTGTTTCTTCTGTGTTTTCTGCTCATATTTAATGGAATTTCCATTCAGCAAACATTTTTTGAGTTCCTACTATGTGCACATGTAATCAAAGCTCAGGGTGGAAGAGAAGTCTGGGAATATCTGGTTATTATATGGTTCAAAGGAGTCAAAAGTCAGCACTATATAGAAAATTTATCATTGAATTCCTATCACCTAAAATCTAGGTGATTCAGTCCGAAGTTGAATGGTCATGAGTTTTTTAATCAGAGTTAATCCATTTTTTGAGATGGAAGGTAACACAGTATTTATTATTAAGGGATGAGGAATAGAACTTTCAGTGTCCTGAGCAAGTAATTAGCAGACTGACCATACAGAAAGATTGAAATCTGAAACTTTTCTCCTGTTTCTACCATGGCAAATTCAACAATGATCTAAATCATGGGGAAGTCTAATATATAAAAATAGAAGTAGGAAGAACAGATATTAATTATTTTCAGATTTGGTTGTAATGTGAATTTTTATCCTCTGAAAAGGACTAGTTAACTAGCAACCATATTTCCTAGGAGAGTCCTAATTTACCTCTCCCAATCCCCCTATTTCTTTCTTTTTTTAGCCACCGAACTCTAAAAAAAACCCCAAAGTTTTGGTTCTAGGAGCTCAACATTAACATGTAAATGTTTTGCCCAACATAGTAAGGATCTGGGCTCTGAGTCTATAATTAGTGGTTAAGGACTTATTTTCTTAGCTTAAACTTGTGGCCAAAGGATTTACTATATTATTGTTATTCTAAGATTCACTTTACGCAAGAATGAAATATGTCTGACTTCTAATATTTTGGGGGGAAGAAGAAGGGGTAACCAAATAATTTACTGGGCATACAAACTCCAAAGCCATAAAAAGAGCGCAAACAATAGCACTGCCAGTCTGATGATGAGCGAACGTCAAGTTTGAAGCTTTAGCCATGTACATTAGTATCATGCTTAAGTTACTTCCTAATTCATTTCTGTTGCAAGAGAACACATGGTCTCCTTTCCACCTTCAAGTACTTCTCTTCCCCAAAGCAGCACGAGGAAAAAGCCATTCAATTTTGTTCTTGCATCCCTTACATTTTAATTAGTGGTAAGTAATGGAAACATGCAGTTTAGACTATTTTATTAAAGTAACCCTATGAATATGAGACAACTTACTCTGCGTCATCAGACACAGCAGTTCTGGTACCGTATCTACAAGACCAAATAAAAAATTAGAAGGCCGACAGCACACAGTTAACATTGCAAAGAAAACCAAATGAAAACCGCTCATATTATAAGCTCCAAACCTTTTTTGCTGAATATACTAGAAAAGAAATGTAACATTATGCAAATTTCAATATTCATCAACTATATAAATGGAAGGAAAGCGCCTTAGATTTTTTTGCAAGTGCTAAACTCAGGAGAAAGCCATGTAAAACTCAAGAAAGGAATCAAGAAAACAATTTGCATTTTACCCACAAAAGATAGGCTTGGTTGATTCTGAATATTAAAAAAGAAAGTAAATTAAGTATAACAATGCAAAAAAAAGTCAACATTAAAAATAATTTGTATTGTCACTAGCCACAATAAGAAAACTGTGAATGCTTTCGTGTTTGTAGTAGTGAGCTATAACTGACTCCCAACATACAAGCCAGATGTTACTCACCTTAGTCAGTGTTAACCTTAGGTGTTAATGCATTTTCACAAATCACATCAAAGCTAATTGTCAGTATTTGGGAAACAAAACCAGTGCCTTCAGTAGCCATTTGACAGAAACCATAATTCCTTTATAAAATTAGCCTTGGATTTTAATCTCCTACAACTTGAAAAGTTTCTTTAGTTATTTTGTATTTTTCTCATAATTTAGATTTACAGAAATATTATCTTTTGCAGTACAGTCACTTTAGTAGGTAAGTAAAAATTTAAAAGCATTAAATCTACCTTGCTAAAACATGGAATAAAAGATGTTCAGTATAGAAAACCAACAGAATTCATCAGTATATTTAAAGTACATTTTTAAAAGAAGCTCCTTTTAAATATGCATCTCAGGAAAGGCCAATTAAAGGAACAGCATCTTGCCTCAAAAGTTGATTATCTCTGCCCTGTGTGGGTAGGGAATTCTTTAGGCAATAGAAAATGCCTGTCTTTGGTTCCAATAAACTGAATTGAGAAAAAATCCCCTGGCTGACCTTAGGTGCTAAAATAATACATAGAAAGAGAGGCAATTTATATGGCTCTCTTTTCTGTAACTCCCCAAAGAATTAAAAGAAACACAAAAAACACACAATGTTTTAATCGCTTTATGACAAATACGTTCACGTGAAGTGGTTATTATTCACGGTGGTAATACGCATTCAAATGTAACAGTAAGATTTGAACTAAGACAGGGCAAGATGGAGGCTGGCTAAGTTAGCTGTTTTCAAATTGGTGAGGGCTCATCAACTGGAAATAAGGCTCTTGCTGTTTCTCTCAGGGAGAACTTCAGAACATGCTAAGATTCAGACTAACAGAACCCAATTTTCAAAACTCTTTTGAAATTACAGCAGGCTTAGCATTCCAATGGGAATCTGTGAGCACTAGTATTCTGAAGAAAGAATGGCCAGCGGCTGACTGGATGTTTACTTGATTCATCAATTGGTCTGCTAGGATTGTAATGGATCTAAGTTGATAAACTATGAAAAGCAGATACAAAACAGTGTTTTCTTGACTACCCGTGATGATGATAGAGAACAGAGGAACAGAGAATTCTAAATAACCTGTAAGCCAGAAACAACTTAGGTTCTGGTATATATACTTTTGTACTTAAATTTTAACATGCGTGTTTGGGGAATTTACCTTATTTCAAATGAATGAAGTCATCCTATAAATACCTACTCATGAAAAGCTGGAAAATGGTCCAGATTTGCCATTCTGCCCTCATCACATCACTAGGAATAAAGAAATGTTTCACCTCTCAGACTAAAATAAAGCATCAACTTAAAACAGAGCTGCTCTTGCTGGCAAAGGAAAGTTAATTAGCGCTTTTATTTCGAAGGTCTTTTTTGCTGATCCTACTGGATACATTCAAAAGAAAGTAAATAGAAATAATACAAATTATCACCAACAGACTTAATTGGGTGCTGTCAAAAGGAAGCTGAAAACAAGACATATCAATGGGAAGTCAAAAGAGCAAACTCTATGGGATGTTAATGACTACTCATATTTAGGGAAGTGAATTTAACAAAATTAAGTTAAAATATGGCATACCTGTTGCATTTACATAATTTTCCAGCACTTAAAGCATCTGAAAATAGTTATTTTTTTGGTACCTACTTTCACAGGGCAGACTGACATTCATCACATTTTACCTCGAAAGCAAGAGGTTAATGATAAGAACACTCTCAAGGACAACGTATAATCATATAATTATGCTATATAATTGTGCTAATCATCCTTACTTATACTAAATTTACTGGATTCATCCACCATTAAACAATTGGGGTTTCCCTTCTAATTCACTCTAGAGCCATGAGCTTTCAATTGAGGTCCAGAATTCCATATTTTCTCATCAAATTTAAATTACTCAGTATTTAATTTTATATGGATTTATTTTCAAGTGGATCAGGGATGCAATGGTCATGCACTGTCTCGGTTACATTGTGTAAATTGTGGTGTAAAGAGCCCAGGCCTGTTATGAACTAGGTGTGTGACCTAGTTCCACAAATTCTCTATGCCTCATCTGTAAAAGGAAGATAACAATATTTATTCTACTTTTCTTGTGAGAAGCTTGTAGGATGAAATGAGCTGTGTATTTTGAAAAGGTAAAAATACAAGTTATGTAGCCCAAAATGAATTTTATCCTGTTTCCTGACCCCAGGCTTAGGGCACGAGTCCATTATTATTCAGGAGGAAATGCTGAACCACTGATGAGCTGTCTGGCGTAGTCCCTGGCAACATTTGAAAAGACTTAGAGCCCTTTCCCTCAAAAAATTCCATCTTCTCAGCCAATGTTCTCAATTTAATAATCCAATATTTGCTCAGTGGAATAATATATGATTAGGCAAGTCAGTTAATGAACTACTTTCACCCAGATTGGCAATATAGGGTCTGTCTGATCACAATTTCAAGCAAAACATGCACCTCATTCCCCATCCTGAACCAAAATCAAATCATCATCCTGCTGAGTCCCATTCAGAGCAAGCACTCAATAATTTTAGGAGCATGATCAATACAAATAGGCTGATTTGCCCCTTAAGGCATTAGTAGAGACCCATCCATATCAGAGCTTACTTCCTTTAACCACTGGAAGTTGGAAGCTCCTAACCTGATTCTGATTGCCAAATAAGACTAAGTATAATACGTGCAAATTCAATTTTCCCAGTTAGTTGTTAATGATCCCATTCTACTGAAAGTTCAGATAGAATGTTGTAAGGGCCACAGTGTGCTGACTCCCCCCCCCCGGCCCCTCCCCCCAAAGTCTACCTTTTGGACCTTTTAACCCTAGAAATCATTACTTCAACTCCAGTGGGTCCAATCAATTCCAGTCTTTCAATAATGAGCAACCACAGATAAGTGCCACTAAAGCTTTCAAAGAAATCCAATTCAACGCACATTTATCAAGCAACATTTATCTAGAATCCATCTTGGGGAACAAAATGGCAACGGCAGAGCATAACCTTCTGACCTCTCCTCTTTCTTTTGAAGTCCCTTGGTAGATTCCTCGACGTCCTGCTGCTTTGCAAATGGAACCGGAAGGAACTGGTTTGAGTTGGATACAGTATGCTTAAGGAACGCCCCTGTTCTTCTAGCCATCATGTCATCTTTCTGTGGGTCAGGCACTTTCCTTTGCCTTTGGACTCTACTGCCAGGCTGGATACCACGAGCTGTCATCTTCTCAAGACTCTTTTCTGCCCCTGTAGTCCCATTCACAGGGGCAACAGAGTTTGCTCTAGGATAACATTTAGTTGGGCCAGTCACATGGATGGTTATTGCCAAGGCTATTTTCAGAAGCACTGCTCACTAGGCATTAAAGGAATAAGACCAGAGCCAATGTCCACGGCAGCATCAGAAGCATGTATGACAAATGAGTAAGGAACTACTACTTTAACAGCACAAACTTTCATTATGCTTTTGGCAAGTGAGAGACGATAGTTAGTGTAACTGGTACTTACATGGCGGCACGTTTCCAATGAAGGTTTTCATAATCCCAATGGTAAAAAGTCTTTTCAAGAATAAAACAATTCACCGCACACAAAACCAACATGCAAAACAAACAACAAAACTACCCAAATCTTGAAACCTCTTTCATTCTTATCACAGGAAATTCAGAAGGCAGAATTGTGACCCATATGGGTAATTCCACTGCATGCTACCTAAATCGTTAATTGTAGCGTATCTCTCTCAAGCTGGACAGAACGGCCGTATAGCATGAGGCAGCATAACACGAAACGCAGGCAAGCAGCTCACAGTTGTTGGCTCCTGCTCCCACATCTTCCATTCTTCAGCTCAGTCTCCAGATCTCCTTTAATAAGTCTGTCCTCTTTTTGGTCATACTGTGGCAGCTGGCTGGATGTGGCTGAAGCCAGAGAGCACAGCTTTGTTACTGACGCAACACGCACACTGGAAGCGCCCACCCTGCTGTCAGTGGTTAATCTTCTTTGGAAGCTGGGTCCACATTCAGGTCTCACCTTCCTTACTGTTTCCCAGATTGTCCTCCAAGATGTGGGCCTTCTGCTTCTGAACCTCATCCAGGGCTGCAGATGGAGGGTTCCCTTTGCAATGTTCATCTAAGCTGGAATATGCTAGTTTGCTGGTAGTAAAGTATTGATGGTGCAAAGGAAGAAAGGGGGAACAAAAGAGTTGGAAAATGTGGGAGCAATGAGAAGCTGAAGGTAGCTGATTAACAAGTGGACATAGATCAATAACTGACTAGTTAGTACCAAGACATTTCCTAGAAATGCTTACTGTTTCCAATAATGATGACATAAAGAATAAGATAAGCTGTAAGTATATAAATGTTAGCAGGGGGACTTAGACATGACATACAAGTGTAAGACACAGATGCTATACTAATGCTTAAGTAATGGGAATCTCAGGATTACAATTATAAGGCTGAATTTCTCTGAGATTCCCTACCCTTCCCTACCCACCGAGACCCTTAATCTTCACAAAAACCAAGCTATGCGTATGCTACTGGGCTTAGAAGGGCAAGAGGGAGAATATAGAAGTCTTTC